AACCCAGAGGGCTTGCCAAAGGCTGATCCCGAACCCAGTGTACTTGGTTGTCCAAAGCCAGAGCTCTGACCCAATGTCGACGGTTGACCAAAACCTGATGTTTGGCTGCTAGCAGCTGGCTGCCCGAATGCTGAGGGTTGGCCAAATGGAGATGGCCCTTGACTGGGTGCAGGGCCCGTCTTGCCTTCTGTAATATCAATTCTATTTGGATGCTCGTTGATACCATCAACGATGTATTTCACGGCACCGCCAAGGTCGCTCAATATGACATCCATCTGCTTCAATGCCTCGGTGTACAAAGTCTGAGCCTCTTGGACTGCCTGCTCCGTATTTCCTGTTGCAGCAGCTTCATAGTGACGCAGCCGCAGCTCTTCGAAAGATTGCTCCCGCTGGGTACCTCCGAACAATTGCTTTGGGGCATTTTTACCAGGACCATAACAAGAAAAGACCCATTCTGGACGGCCCTTACCAGCGGTTAGGTCGGCCTTGATATCATCTGCTGTGACACCATAACTTTTCTTGCATTAGTGGGGAATTTTCTCTTGCCAGAAGTGCATCACTTACTTTGCTGGTTGCTGGTTCTGTGGCGCAGAACGACCTGTACTAGAGTTAGATACAGAGTATACACGATGGACCGTCAAAAAAAGCAAATCAGAAAAGTGCTAGTTAAGGCCGATTCCAATAAGAGTACTCAAGACATTGGGTAGAGTGATTAACATTCCTCAGACAAAGATCACGTAGCTCTCAGTATCCCAAGAGGAACTTGTGACAAATGCCTCTGCATTAAGATTGGAACACGAGGCATTCCGAGGTTTCAGAAGAGGGACAACAAGGGTGAAAAGGAGAATAAATCAAAAGGAAGGCATACCTCCGAAGCCTCCACCACCACCACCACCTCCTCCTCCTCCTCCTCCAGACAGGACTCCAAAACGGTTCCCTGAGCCTACACTTGATTGGCCGGGGTGCTCAAATTTGCAGCGTTCTAATTCAATGATCAGTAAATTATCCATCAGCAGCTTGGAGATAGGAAAGGAAAGGAAAGACTAAGATTCGAAGGGGCTAACTCTACCTCCAAATCTACACCGGCCTTGCTGGAAGAAGCTGCAGACCACCATTTTTTGCTTTCCTTTCTGATATCGAACTTGACTGGAGATCAAAGATCCCTACTGGGCTTTTGCAACGGGGTTCTCCAGATCGAGGATGATGTTGGACTGTATCTCAGCAGGTCAAGTTCGTTACCTAGCATATATTCGCGATCAATCCTCGGAGTGAACAATGAGAGTGGAAGTTCCTTGTTGATGAGCTGCCAGCGAATGAAGTTGCTGGTCATCAGTCTGAAGTTTATGCCGGTGACAATACATTTCACCCAGTCGGAGTGCTTCCTGGCCTGCGCATATCCTGGTCGGTGTACGGTTCCGGTATTGGTAAATTACATTATCCATTCTATGACATTGCCAAAGAACATTCGCCATTTAGGGGGTTCTAAAGAAGACTATTTTGATTTAATATCAATCTTTGATATCCTGATACGGTGCTGTGTTGAGTACTAATATTACAAAGTGAATTTACGAAGGCTCCAAATTCAAACTCCAAATTCTCCAATCTCCAAACCGCATCCATAAGTATTGAAATCGTGTCGCATTTCCAATAGTGCTGCGAGCTCATTTCACGACATTTGGCCATTACAGCAGAGCTACTATGTCTGCGATGGTTGAATACCTTGTCTGAGGATGTCCCAGTTCAGTCCATCGACCTTCTTGCCGCCCAAGGACTCGAGGTCGGCAGACAAATTTTCTACTTTCCCTGTCGCAAGACGGCGCATCATGACGGTGTCCTTAGCGCCATGCAACCCCTTTGCATTTCCATGGAGAAGACAGTCCTCGAACCATCCCTCTTCCTGGTCATCGAAGGGAAGGCCAATCAATTCCATAGCGCGCTTGCTCCGGGTCTCGCCAGCTTCCGTCGCATGCACGAATTCAATGAGCTGCGCAAGGTAGTTCTGGCGAAGCGAGTCGTCATAGTTCCGGGTAAAGTAAAAGGCCTCCGTAATACTGGAGCGACAAAGAGTTCTGAAGAATGCTTTCCGGACTTTTGTGGATGCCAGTGGTGGGCTTACGGTGAGATAATATGCCATTACGAGGCTGTCATCGTGCTTGGGAAGCTGTGGGAGGGTGAGAACGTAAAGGATTTCATCAGGAAATGTTGGAATGATGGAGGGTTCGGTCAAATATTCAATGGCGCGCTAGATTGACCGACGGCGTTAGCAAGCAAGCTCTCATGGATCGCATGTCCGGTCTTCTCAACGTACCCTGAATTCTAGCCTATCTAGGTTCCAAAGTCCTTCAATGAAGAGACGGTACTTTTCAGGTAAATGGAATCGCCGCGAAAATTGTGAAGCATAGTCATTGGCTGCCCGGCAGTCCTTCAAGAGGTAGTAGATCAAGGCCTGCTTGTGATGGATATCCAGTGGGGATGATACGATGTGTCCGAAAAGGGTTCGGAGGTCTGCGTTGGACTTTGGAGGGTATACTTTCGTGACTATATGATTCTGCTGGTCAGGAACATTGTACATTATTATCAATGTTTGATCGATATTACCTGCTTTCACGCCGAGCAGTCCTAGGAGTCTGTCGGCGAACAGCTGGTTGTCCAAAGCCCGGCGGTTGGATAGGATCTGTTCAATGACCTTGCCATCATAAACAAAGTTCTTGTTGAAGGAGTAAACACTGTCGAAATCTTCCCAAGGCGCCATTTTGGGCCGCGCCACACTCTTGGTTCGCTGAGAGGCCTTTTTGATATAAGTGCCAAAGATTACTCTTATCGTGTTGACTCGTACCATGGTTACAATACATACGGATGACATAATACGGGCGGTGGCCGCCACGACTGTTGTGGCAGAAAAACAAGGCTTTCCCTCTTTGGGCGACAATGTAAACAACCCACTTCCACCCACCAGCGCTTTTTCAACCAGCCGGTAACATCGCGACACTGTCCCTGTTCACACTCGCCTTCATGAGGCCCTCCTTTGCGGACCGTACCACAACAGCATAATGTCGTCAATCGCAAGAGGCAGGCCATCCCGGCGCTCTGCTCCTCGAAGGAGCTATGTCATGTCGGAGACATCTGAAGAGGAAGATCCCGGAAATGTGACCCCCACACCGTCCCAGCATGATGATGAAGAGGAGAATGAAGACGATTACACTCCAGTTCCAAAGAAACCAAGCACAAGGAGACGGTCTAGTAGGCGTACGACGCTGATGCGCCTGCACCTACGCCTAGCACCGCACGCCCCGCACGAAGGTCCCGCAGGTCGACAACCGCGGAGCAGGAGGAGGCGTCGCAAGTTGGTGAATCGAATGACGAAGGGAGTAGCGTTGCATCTATACAAGAGCCTGAATCGCCTTCACAGAATGTGGCGGCGACGAAAAGAAGGAGTATGGCATCCCGCAAGAGTCGTGACTCCATGACGCCCAAGCCGGAACGGTCCTCAGTCGAACCCTCCGTGCCGCCCCAGTCCCAGATCCGATCTCAGAGAGGCAGCGTGCCCCCGCTCAACGATATCACTGAATCCGCAGTGAACAAGTCCCCTTCGCCCGAGGACACAAAGTCCCAAGTTTCGATCATTAATCCCCATTCGACCATCCTCGAAAAGCCCATGGATATCATGATGAAGGCGCGCAACTTGGCTCCTCCGACAATACCTGAGGAACCATCGGGACCGAAGAGTCGCATGGTCATCAAGACTTTAATCCTTAACAATTTCAAAAGTTACGCAGGGAAACAGATCGTAGGGCCCTTCCACGCTTCTTTTTCCTCGGTTGTCGGACCCAATGGTTCCGGAAAATCAAATGTGATTGATGCGTTGCTATTCGTGTTTGGCTTCCGAGCCAGCAAAATGCGACAAGGCAAAATCTCCGCCCTGATTCATAACTCTGCTGATTTTCCAGATCTGCCCTTCTGCGAAGTTGAGGTTCATTTCCAAGAGGTCTTCGATCTGCCAGATGGAGCACATGAAATAGTTCCAGATTCCCAACTGATTATCTCTCGAAAGGCATTTAAAAACAACACTAGCAAATATTACATGAATGGCAAGGAAACAAACTTTACTGCCGTGACGACCTTGCTCCGTGACCGAGGAATCGACCTAGACCATAAGCGTTTCCTGATTCTCCAGGGTGAAGTCGAGTCCATTGCCCAGATGAAGGCAAAGGCCGGCAATGAGCATGAGGACGGGCTTCTCGAATACCTTGAAGACATTATCGGAACTTCGAAGTATAAGGCCCCCATTGACGAAGCGGCCGCTGAACTAGAGACGCTCAACGACGTCTGTGTTGAGAAGAACAACCGGGTGCAGCACGTGGAGAAAGAAAGGAATTCTCTAGAGGACAAGAAAGATAAAGCGCTTTCCTACCTCAATGACGAAAATGAACTCACCCAGAAGCAGTCGGCGCTTTATCAGATCTACATTGAGGAATGTGCCGATAACATCCGCGTCACGGAAGAGGCCATCCTTCAAATGCAGGAACTGTTGAACATGGAGCTTGAAAAACACGAGGGCAATGAATCCGGGATCAAGGAGCTTGAGAAGGCTTACAAGCGCGGCATGCGTGAATACGAAAACATGGAGAAGGAAGTACAAGCTTTGGCAAAAGAAATGGCGAAGTACGACAAGGAGTCCGTCAAATTTGAGGAAAAGAAGAAGTTCTTGGTTGGCAAACAAAAGAAGCTGGAGAAGACAATGCAAACTGCCCGCTTGGCTGCTTCTGAATGCGAAAGCTTGGTTGAGAAACATACTAGTGATATCACCAAAAAGACCAAAGAGACAACGGATCTAGAGAAAGAGCTGAGAGTGGAAGAGGATGAATTGTCGGCAATCCGTGAAAGCTTAAAGGGCAAAACCCAGGGTCTTTCGGATAAGATCACGGCCAAACAGAAGTCACTTGAACCATGGGATGAAAAGATCAACAAAAAGGTCTCCGCTGTTGCAGTGGCACAAAGTGAGCTTGACATTCTCCGAGAGAGAAGCAATGCCGGTGCTGTACTCCTGGAGGAAGCACAGGGCAAGGTTTCATCTATTGAGGAAACGTTAGCCGCCAAGGAAACCGATCTTGAGGAACGGAAAGAACAAAAGGCCGTTCTTGAGGAAGAGGTCGCGAAGCTAAAGCATGACCTCAAAAAGTACGCCCACAGGGAGCCAGATGTTCGCGCTCATGTCTCCAGTGCCCGACAAAAAGCCGACGAAGCAAGAGCTAGCCTTGCAAGCACACAAAACCGTGGTAGCGTACTGTCTGGCCTCATGCGTCTCAAGGAATCTGGTCGTATTGAAGGGTTCCATGGACGACTTGGAAACCTCGGGACAATCGATGAGAAATATGACATAGCTATATCCACGGCTTGTCCGGCGTTGGAAAATATGGTGGTGGACACAGTCGAGGTTGGCCAACAATGCATCGACTACCTGCGGAAGAACAACCTTGGCCGAGCCAACTTCATACTTCTAGATCGTCTTCCACGACGGGATATGTCAGCAGTATTCACCCCGGAGAGTGTCCCACGTCTATTTGATCTTGTGAAGCCCAAGGATCCGAAATTTGCTCCAGCCTTCTATAGCGTGATGCAGAATACTCTTGTCGCCAAGGACCTAGAGCAAGCCAATCGCATTGCCTACGGTGCCCGACGATGGAGAGTAGTGACACTTGATGGCCAGCTCATCGATACGTCCGGTACCATGAGTGGTGGTGGTACCCGTGTTGCTCGTGGCGCAATGTCATCGAAGCAGGTCGCGGACACCAGCAAAGAGCAGGTTGCAAGGCTCGAAGGTGACCTCGAGGAAATGGAGAGGAAGTTCCAGGCTTTCCAGGAGAAGCAAAGACATATCGAGGCGGCGATGAGAGAGAAGTCCGAGGAGATCCCACGTGTCGAGACGAAGATTCAGAAGATCTTAATCGAGATTGAAAGTACCAACCGTAGTCTCGCAGATGCCCAGCGGCGCGTGAAGGAGTTGAGTGCTGCCCACAAGCCATCCAAGACAGATGCAGCCCAGGCTGCAGCTCTGGAGAAGCAGATCGCTTCTCTTGAAGAGGAAATTGAAGATCTCCGTTCACAGAAGGGAGGCATTGAAGAAGAGATTCAAACTCTCCAGAATAAGATCATGGAGGTTGGTGGTGTAAGACTGCGAGGTCAGAAGGCTAGAGTCGACGGCCTGAAAGAACAGATCGGCATGCTTGCCGAAGAAATCTCAAATGCGGAAGTCGGGAAGTCTAAGAACGAGAAGCTAAAAGCCAAACATCAAAAAACACGCGGGGATGCTGAAGAGGAGCTCGAGCATGTTACCGAAGACCTTAACAAGCTGGATGAGGATGTCTCCAACCAGGCCAACGATGCATCTGGCTGGAAGCAAAAGGTAGAGGAAGCACAAGAAGCCCTCGAGGCGAAGAAGGGAGACCTCAAGACCGTGAAGTCAGAGTTGGATGAAAAGGTGGCCGAATTAAACGAGTCTAGGGCCACGGAAATCGAAATGCGCAATAAGCTTGAAGAGAACCAAAAGGCTTTGGCAGAGAATGAAAAGCGCGGGCGCTACTGGCACGAGAAGCTATCGAAGTTGGCATTGCAGAATGTGAGCGACCTTGGAAACGAGGAAGCACCTGCAGAGCTGCAGACTTATACCAAGGATGAGCTATTGGAGATGAACAAGGAGTCTTTGAAAGCTACTATTGCAGCTTTGGAGGAGAAGACGCAGAACTCACCTGTTGACCTCTCTGTGATCGAAGAGTACCGTCGCCGGTCAGCCGAGCACGAAGCGCGTTCAGCGGATCTCAATACTGCCCTGGCATCTCGCGACAGTGCTAAAGCCCGTCTTGACGGCCTTCGATCAGCTCGATTGAATGGATTTATGGAAGGATTTAGCATCATCTCACTCCGCCTGAAGGAGATGTACCAGATGATTACGATGGGTGGTAATGCAGAGTTAGAACTAGTGGATTCTTTAGATCCTTTCTCAGAAGGTATCTTGTTCTCCGTCATGCCTCCGAAGAAGAGTTGGAAGAACATTGGCAACTTGTCCGGTGGTGAGAAGACACTGTCTAGTTTGGCCCTGGTTTTCGCCTTGCACCATTACAAGCCTACGCCGCTGTACGTCATGGACGAAATCGATGCCGCCTTGGACTTCAGAAACGTAGGTGCGCCCGTTATCTCTCAACGGAACAAACAGCTAACTCAAGTGTTCCAGGTCTCCATCGTGGCTTCATATATCAAAGAGAGGACAAAGAACGCGCAATTCATTGTTATCTCCTTGAGAAACAACATGGTAAGCTCCTCAACCTGGTGGGCTATTCTTGGATATCGCTAACGGACAGCAGTTCGAACTTGCATCGCGCCTGGTCGGTGTCTACAAGGTCAACCATAAGACCAAGAGTGTGACCATCGAGAACAAGGACTATATCAAGAGACAGTAATGAAAGCAGAAAATATGGTGCTTGTTGTTTTTCGCTGCTTTCTCAACGAATGTTTATGAGCCGGAAATGGATGGGAATATGTTGTGGTTCATGTTCGTTCGGTGTGATGGGTTTCTGCAAGTATTTTTTGATTCTCTTTTATGATGTCCACGGATACCGACGGAGATTTTGGGATAGGTCACTTCTATTCGGTTGAACATGTTTTCCATTGTGTTCTACAGTATATAATTTTCTCATGACAGATGGATATCTCTGTGACTTACGTCTAGTTTGCCATCATTCATAATCTTCAGATCGATTAACATGATCACACCACCATTTTGCCTATCGGTCAACCCCTTGTTAAATCTGACATCTAAATGATGCATTTCTTAAGCACTCACTTCCTCACTTGCATTGGCATGCTCTTAACCATATAAGACGGAGAGGGGAGCGTGCTCACCTATACAATTGGAGCAGAGCAAGTCCCTCGACGAGATACGAAGCATAATGATATCCAAGGACGCCACCTGCGCGCTAGCAAACGATGGTCGAACTAAACGCTAACCTTGAAGACTGTTATGCTTCTTGGAAGACCCCAGGAAGTTTCTACCACTGATAAATTTGGGTCGCTGTGTCGCAGATATAGAATGGATGGGTTCCCGGAGTGATACTGTGTTTTAGTGCGATGCGGTCTACTACAACACGAGTGAACGTGTATATAAATTTATATACACATAACCACTAGTAGTGTACCATCGACCAACTCACATGGGAGTTGGGTTTTGGGGCCTTTCATGTCGTGCATTGGGATATTCTCTCCTCCCCCCCCAACAATATAATATATATATACTTCCGGGCTTTCTTCGGTGGAATATTGAATGAAATGGCTGATTCATGAGCAAATGACTGGGGGATGTTCTATCCAGTGTCAAGGCAATGCTATTCTATCTAGATCGACCTTCGATTGCGATAGTACTCTAGATTTATCAATTCGTTATCTCCTCTTAAATAGAGGAGCAAGTCTACAGATATACACTTCTCGATTAAATCATAGTGATTGATTCAAACCCAGAGAAAGGGCCCAGTTGAGATAGAATACATACAAGCATGTCAAATGTCGCGCGAGCGTTTCGTTCATCGCTTTCGTAACGACATTCATATCATGAACCAAAGTGCTTGCCAGCTTCGTCCTCTCCCCTTAGCATTATTAAAAAAAAATAAGAGTAGTAAAGTGCGTATTCGAAGTTGAAAGGGAATCGAGCAAAACTAGATCGTGTGTCCACCCACGCTTGGAAAGAAGTAAAGAAACTGGAATCGAGGTATGTTGCCCAAAATAAACCGAAACTCCGCTTCCATCTTAAAGGCGCCGTAGTCTATGTTGAATCCGTCCGTCAATGTCACAAAGGCTAGGGAAAAAAAAGAACAAAAGAAAAAGAACAAAAACAGGTCATTGTCATTGACCGTCATTCATGAAGCAATATCCACTCCTTTATAATGGGATATTGCAAAGATGCACGTGGTACCGTGATCTGTTATGTAACGAAGTTTGATATAGCGACCATCAATCTGGTTTATGCGACAACTGATCGGCGTGGTGCGATGGGGATAGGTTTGGGACCCGAAGATATATCAAGTGTAGACATCCCAAGGTCGCTATCTTCGTATTTCTGCGACGCCTTTGGTTTATTGCCACTCACGACTGAAGACCGTCGCGTGTCCTCGCCGTCACGTATCGTACTACAAACGAATCGTTCTTCGGAAATGGGGTCGGCTCCGAACATCGAGCCTAGCTGTTGCAAGAGAGCGACAAAGTTTGCGTGGATTTCTGCAAAGATGTACTGGTTGCCCACGATCTCGCTGAGATTTCTTGCCTTCACCTGGCCAGGGCGGCGAAGCTGACCATCTGGATCAAGGGCGCGGCCGGTGAGGAAGGAAGAGACTGGGGTGTACTGTCTATTGTTCGTTCGATCGGGTCCTCTATTCTGCTCTTCACGGCGCTTTTCTTCCTCCTGATATTTCTCAGCCGATTTGACGATTCCCGCCGAGATTCGGCCGAAAGCGCGCCATATCACCGGACAAGCACGGAACGCCCTTCCAGTGTCTTTGCCGGCCAGTGCAACCAATGCATAGCTGCGTCGTTTCCCGCGTGCCATCGGATCCGGAAGGCGAAAGACAAATGCGACCGTATACCCTGCAGAGGAGTCGCCAAAGCATAAGGGACCGGAAGAAGCACCTTGTGGGAGGAGTTCACAGCTCAGGGTTCGAATAGAAGAACGTCGGAGAAGAGCATAATCTGCTGGATTTGGAGGGCCTCGTAGCGAGAGATAGGTGAGAATATGTGTGTGGCAAGAGGCATCGGATGCAACCGAGGAGGAATGTAAAGACTCGGGGTAGGAGGCGTGTACATGCGGGTCGTGTACGCCGTCTTCAGTTTCGGAGTGGCTTGAGCCGCAAGAATAGACGACCTCTCTGGAGCGCAAAACGGGACTTCCGTTCTTCCCTTTGCCATCGCTCTTCGGCGTACCGGGGGCGCCGGGGGGGAGCTGCTTGCTCACATTTTCTGGCAATGTCAAGCTACAGCTTGCGCAGGTATCGCCTTCTGCGCCTCCGAGTGGATTCAATCTCTGCTGGGCTTCAGCTGAATTGGCCTGCGGCTTGATGAAGTAAGGGTGGTCCTCGATTTTTTCGAAGTCGGCTTTGCCGGGAAGTTTTCCGTTAAGTTTGGTTGAACTGGAGTCCTTGCCATAAATAGGGCTCTGTAGATGAGAAGATACAGTGTCATGAGAAGTTGCAGGGGTATCGGCGGGAGAGAAGTCGGATCTGTCTGGGTAGCATTGCGAGCAGGAGAATGGCAAGACCTGCGAGCAGATGATCGAGGTGGGACCATGCACCTCGCAGAAATGCGTCAAGGAGAGCTAGTGAACGACCTGTTAGTTTTGGACAAGTAACTCTCCGAGAAATACGAGCATCTGTTGGAAACCCCACGGCGCGAGGGAGGCGAACAATGATGAGATCATCATTCTGGAGAGGTCCCATGCGACCATGGTGCGCTCAACACATGAATTGGGAACAGACCAATTCATGAGGACGATCGAAAGCACCGTAGGAAAGTGGGTAACAGTGGATAATACACATTGTTACGTCGATGCGATAGAGCCAAGGGGACGGATGGGATAGTAAGGGCGATAGCGTTGTTGCGTCCACGCCGGAAAATATAGTTCAGACTTACAATGAAATCCATATCCACGAGTATTAACGTCTAGCAGTATCCAACAACCATATTAGACCATTATTTCGATACATGCTTTCCGAGAATGAAGAATCAAGTGGCGAAGATCGTGGTTGTCGCAACGACGCAGGGTCGAACACTGAAGTCAGACTGAGATAGAGAGTGCGGAATGTATGTAGGTTTCAATCTGGCTGGACCGGGGGGGATTTTCCAGACCAAAGCAAGTCAAAATTAGAGAGCGAGAGCGTGTTAACTGCAAACAACTCGACACCCTCGTCGTCGCTTGGGGGGGAAGGGCTGCAAAGGCCAGCTTGCAGACCAAGAAACCGGACGTAAAGGAAGGAAAGAAACGAAGGGAGAGGAGGCGAATATTAAAGATGAAAGAACCGACGAGTCTACTTTTCCACTGGCAGGATCGTTACTATGCAAGATTAATGGATCAAAAGGAAGGGGGGGTGGAAAGACTCCCAATGTGGATCCCCATCGGCTGCGTACGGTATCGTTCGGTACTGTAATGGTTCAGGCCGAGAACAGCAAGAGGCCCAATGACCTTTGACCCAAACAAAAGCCTCAAGTCCTGTCCCCCACTAGGCCTTTTTCAATTCTTTTTCACTGTTGAATGATTTCTTCCCGTCCATACAAACCGATTACATCCTGGGGATGTATGGAGGTAAGGTTGGAGGGGCAGAACATTCATTCATGCATTCGACTCACTGCCCTAGTACATATGTACATATGTACATACATACATACATACACACCTACATTAAATGTACGTACATATAAAATGACCTACAGAGATCCCTAAACTCCTGGAAGTACCTTCCCTTATTAGTATTGTCCCTACGGAATGGAATCGGGTAGTACTGTACTGTTGTATCTATAGGAATTTTGGCTCACCATCGAATATACTATTACGAAAGGGTCTCTCCCTCGTACGACGTAATCTCTCATTGTTTGATTCAGATTCTCAGCGCTAACACAATTCCTCGTCAAACGGAGTAAATAAATAAAACTAAACCCAATTCTTTTGTATCTGGTTCGCTTGTGGTGAATGAAACTAGCTGAGATCGTTCACTTCTTGGCCAACTAGTCGGATGGAGCCCCGACAGAAAACGGTCTTCCCCCAGCCCATACTTAGTTACACCGAACTTAACTCGATAATCTTCCATGTTGATGATACGAGTAGACTAGTAGTAGATTGAAATTATACTTGTTCGCTTAATCAGGCCGAGACGTTTCAGGAGAGATCATCGATTCAAGGGGAAGAGAAGAAAAGTAGGGACGGTGGAATGGTCATTCATTCATTCATTCATACCGGTGGTAAAGAAGTTACCAAGAACGTCTCGGGAAAACACCCAAGGCTTGTACAGGCTTGCCAGACTGGAAGGAATCTCTCCGTACCCAATTTGACGGGACGGTGTCTGGCCGCTAAAATCGATGCTCCCCGATTTCTTTACGCAATCGAAGGTTTGTAGAACGGGAAATGGAAGAAGTCAATCGCAGATCCATCCTTATCCTTTTTCCGCCGTTCTTTGCCTTTTTTCTTTTTTTCTTTTTTCTTTTTTCCTTTTTCCTTTTTCCTTTTTTCTTTTCTTTTCTTTTTTCTTTTTTGCTTTTCTTCCCACTCTTCCAACCAACTGTCCGAGAAATAAAAAAAGTACGTTAATGACGATTATTGACTGCTTCCAGCAAGGCACTTCAAAAACAGGCTTTTTCTTCTTTGTTTGGAAATATATTTTTATCTATATAAAAATGCTCGTCTGAAAATAAAATAGGATTATCAGGGGAAATTGTCAATGGATTTATTTTGCCCGGTGACCATGAAAGGGAAGAAAATAGATTAAAAAATAAAAAATAAAAAAAATAACACCAAATAAGAGAACTCCAAGAAGAATTGAAAATCCGTAGTACCCATCCCCAAGTCAGGAATACCGATTTGCCGTCCCAATGCCGGCTGTCCCGCTATGTCCCAGGGCTGTTCCCTGGTTTTATCGGCATGATCCCCGTCGACTGCTTCTCTGGAGTCTGGAATTGAAAAATCGCGATAAGCCTCAAGGTAATCAGTCCATTCTTCGGATCTGGGAGTAATCAAATCACAGCCATGGTAAATAATCATGCCGGAGGTCTAGGGTTGGGTAACCCTTCCGTAACTTACGGTTGGAACCGTTTTCGTCCTGCTCTCCATTTGTCTTCAAGCTAACCCCAATCGAGTAAGGCTCCACGAGATAGGATCCGAAGCAGGCTAGACGCTGTCACATGTCCCAGGAGGGGATTCACGTTTGCTGCCTCAGCCCTTAAAATGGAGTTTGTCCTGTTTCTTAAGTCCGCTAGCTGTTCCATCTCGAAACCTCGGTGGGAGGAAGGAAAGACTACCTACGGTTAAATCACCTCGGAGTCCGGAGTATTATCCTCATGGGAAAATACACAAGAGAAAAAAACAAAAATTAAAAGTCTAAGTACTAACAAAAGGGGGTTTCAACTACAAACAACCGGCCTTTCCCTGGGGTCGGATTGATTACCGTTGACTCCGTAGACTCCTACCAAATAATCTTTCCTCAAGCGCAACGAAAAGTACAGACGAGGATATACTCCGTGATTCGGTGCACATCACACACACTGTCAGACGGTCGAGAGCCTGTCACTACATTCCTGGCCTTCCGATTTGCTACGAGGACCAGAGGTCTAGAAGGAAGCAAAAATAACCTTTTTCGTTTCAGTGGACTCGGAACGCGGCACTCAAACCGACAATCAGATGCTACTCGTTACTGCTTCTGGTAACAGGAAGTTAAAGGCTCCATGGACGGTAGAACCCAGAGTAAAAAAAGAATATTTTAGCATCGACAGAACTCCTGGTTCATGGTTCCACCTCGCCGTGTGGTAAACCGGGTTCAGCCCAATCTTGGGAGGAGCCCATGCGGGTGTCGTTGCCTACGTACTCTTGTACATACACTACTCCGAGTAGATACTAGAATCACTAACCTACATTTGTTGCTGCATGCGGAGTGCAGCTCCCCGTCGATGATAATTAGCGGGATGTCACGAGACTGACAGACGGGGGAGGCCCCGAGGCCATTCCAATTCGCCCCCCCAGATTCCAACTACCGATGATTACCCATGCGAGCTCGGGATCATCGGTGAGAGAGCGAGAGAGAGCGCGAGTTTGTGTGTGTCTGGAACGGGGACTTGTCGTCTGGAAGCGACTCTGGTAAGGGATTCCGGGAGCTTTCGCGCGAAATAACACCGAACTAACCCTGAGCTCTTAGGACGAATCAATGCGGCTGGGGTTGGATGCGACCGGCGGGATTCCCTGTCGCCCAATGTCACGGTGCAGGGTGGACAGTGCGTCCTCTAAGTTCATCCCTCCCTTACATTCTACATAGCGAACTACTGGTCGGGTGGTCATGTCGTACGTTATCCATACCTATAGGAAGTCCCTGTTAATGCCATGGATCAACTTGGTCGCCGCATTAGGGCTTGAGACATGTGAAGGTCGTAGCTCTCTTATCAGGCTGAGCGATGTGATAGATCTTGAGCGCGATGGAGATGATGCATAATTCGATACCGATAAAGCTCCGTATCTGCAATACAATGCGATTGTCGACCCGAAGTGAAGCTGATTTGAGATATTACCGATATCATTCTCATCCTCTCTTCACTACGGAGTCGTACCCGTCCGATTAAAATGATCCCCCAGCCGTACTTAATCATTATCCACCGCCCTCTAATCTCGCATAATCCTTATCTGAAACACCCACGTCCGTAATCAGCCTTAACACCTGGACACTTGCGAATGGAGACAGGGTTACTCGGTATATATCCGAACAGGCTATATACTAGTATATACTATAGTCCTGGGGATATAGTATTCCATGCCATTCCATTGCAGAGGTTCCTGCAGAGACGACGTAAAATCGACGTTCCGGACGGATGAAGTAGGTTTACCCGACTGCTAGTCGTGAGTAGAACTTGCTTACAGGCATACTGTATGTATGTAAGTATGGATTTAGTTACATACGTACATACAATTACGGTACGTACTACAATAACAGAACCACCACAGATTCACAGAATGGTAAGCAAGCACACGACCTCACTCCACTTCTTCTCACCAAAACAACCAGCTTGGGTCTTGGGATCCATGATGTTGCCTTCCTTGCCAAATGTATCCACCGCGGCGCCCAGACAACTTCAGTGACGGTACCTTTTGGGTAAGAACTACGGTCTCCACGTGGCAATCTATGCTCATGATTTGCTGCCTGCATTTGGCTCCGTTGAGAACTTCCCGTCTTAGCTGAATTCACGAGGGACCAATGATCTCGACTCGCTGCGTGTCATTCTCCCGACGTACATTTTCTGTTCTGCATTGTCTCGCGGGCGGCGGTGGATAATCGTAGGCTGTATATGTCATTGACTATTTGTCGCTTCGTCCATCGAAGCTAGTAGACCGACGACGGGAGTAGCCAACTGCATCTCCAATGAGGCATCATCCACGGTGCGGCGGAAGCTTCGGCTATACTAGCACTAGTACTAACAATACTCTTCTTTCAGCGCCCTCTCTCAAGGATGAAGGACTTGGCCGTCTTAGTGGTGGATCAACCGTTGACATCCACCGTGAACTTTGAAGTGGTGCCTGAATTCTTTTCTGGCCTGTGCTTCTCGTCAAGCGGGTTAGTAAAAAACGGAGTTTATTCCTAAGTACGGATAATACCTATGGATCTGTTAATTTTCTACCGCGGCTTCGGTTGAATGACCTTTGTATGTAGTTGTACTTCAAGTTGTATCATGATATGGATCCTCAAACTCAGTCCTCCGTAGACATGTAACAACAGCAACAGCCACAACAACAACAACAATAACAACCACCACCACCACCCCCAAGCATTCCACATAAACCTCCCTCCGAAACAATCGCAAGACTCGGACCGATCCCGGTCCATCCATGAGGATAAGTATTTAACTCGAATAGGCAGCCCAAGTGAGACATGCATGCAGTCGAGATTTCCGACCACGAAAAATAAGCAACAAGCAAAATGCAAGTGTTCTAGACTGGACTGACAAGGATTGTTTTGTTGTTTATTTGTCTCGTGCTGCTCCGTCAAGCCTCGCATTAGGTAACTAACCTAACCTGAGTCTTGTTCCATAAATTGTGGAATCCACATTTTGAGCGATTTTCTGCCTGTCCCCTGCAGTAGTTCATCTCTTGCGCCCCTGGTGGATCGAGTTACAGATCATACGTACATGTTTTCGTGGCTGGGTTTGTTTATAATTGCTGGTGTTTGTTTGGGTGGAAGGGGGGGGGTTTTATTTTTAATGTTTAATTTTTAATTTTGTTGTTTTTCATGTTTGGGGTTGCGTGGTGGGCATTCTATCTAACTAGTATCTGGCTACCGTAGGTAATCTGTATGCGTGGTGATGGCGTAACTCTTTTGCTCGTATAATGGGTCTTTTTTCGCGGTCTTGGCTGCAGGATCCGATGCCATGGGCTTGTTTAAGAGAAGTGATCCTAGTCGTGAGGTCATGGGGATGGTTTGTATTTTTTTTATTTTTATTTATTTTTTTTTTCCCGTGGTGAAGATTTGTTTGGTTGGATTTAGGGAATGATTTTCCACTGTGGCTGGCGGGCCGGCGATGGTCGTTCCTCATTATCAAGTAAATGCATACATACATACATACATGATTTTGGGTATACGGTGATGGAGTATCGTTTGAGTTTACAGGAAAATCACCACACATATATATGCTCCTCGCACCGTAGAAGATAATAACTAGGGAGAATATCACCTACACGGCTGCATGAACTACCAGTCTCCTTCGCTATCGCTGCCGGGGTATGCCTTCTTGCGCAGCTTCCACAGGGATTTCTCCCGCTGCGCGGCCTCTCGTTGCTGGCCGCTGTGGTCTTCAATTACCGTCATCCAGGGTACATTGCTGGCCCGTCGAATCCGGTCCCGGAGGATCGCAGACACCCGGGCTTGCTGCTCTGGCTCGAGGATGCTGTCTTCTTTGTCGGTGGAGGCGTCGGTCTTCTTGAGCTTCTCGAGGGACTCCCGATAGCGTCTCTCTTCGGCGCGTGCGGCGTAGTAATCTTCGCTGATAGCCCAGTTGGGGTTGTCGAGCTGGCCCCGGACAAGGACGATGCCGTGGCCTTGTTCGAGGGCGTCGCGGATCGCGGATCCCGCAATGGGGGTGACCAACTCCAGCCGCTGCGAGGAGACGTCTATGGAGCGCACAAGAGCTAGACCCAAGCAGCGAGATGCTTTCGGGTCGAGAGGGTTATTGCTGCCGGAGCCCACGAAGAGGTAGGGTAGGTTCTCGGTAGGTGTACGAGCGATGTTGGCATCAATGAATGGGTTAATGGGGTCTTGGGAAGTACCTCCCTCCATCAGTGTATCGATGGAATCGTCCATGGTGACATCGGCATCTGTGGATTGGGCAGGGTGGTGATTTGTTAGACCGGGGCCATCATTCTGGCCGAGAATCGCTTTGGGGGACTCCACGGCGACGACGGCGACAATAGCTCCGTCCAGGACCTCCCGGACCATATCAGGGTCGATCTGGGAGCCCATGACCATAACACCTTTGATACCCTGTTTGGGTCCGGCGTAGTGAACGTGGAATGGTTTGGTCCGGGAGATTGGCTTCTCTAACCACAGCGGGTTGCTGATTTCGGTGGGGCGAGTCATGTGGAAGTAAGACTGCATTTGCATGGACCGGAGCTGCGCGCTGGACCGGCTCACGAAGTCGGTTGGCTGGGACGGGAGGATGGTCACAGGGACCATAGCTTCTTGAGCTGCCTGGCCGAGAGGCATCACGACCTCTGTGGGACCTTTCTCGCTCATGTATACGACATCGGACAAGCCGAGGGATCTAACGAGCCATGTCGCAACTTCTAAACCAAGTCCAAAGATCCATCCCGGATAGTTGATGATCAGCGGACATTGGGGGTAGCTTGCCAGTAAGGCACGGTAGCGATCCATGAGGTCCATGGCAGCGAGCACGTAGTGGTCTGGGTCCTCTTTAGGCGATGTCGCCCCAATGTGGTGGGCTCTGATGATGGTTCCCTCCTGGGAACTACCTACCGATGGGTGGGAAAATGGGGGGCCAAAGACGGGTGACCGGAGATGCGCCAGATACACTTGTCCCATGGGAGAGAATTCGGGCTGGCCGGGATCAAGATCAAGGAAGGCGACGCCATCAGTGTTGCAGTAATTCGTTTCAGTCTGCGGTGCCGGGCTGAGAAGATGGTTAAGAAGATACCGACTGAAGGTGGATTTTCCAGAAGCTTTGGGGCCACAGATCAGTGCCTTTAATCGACCACCTCGCTGAGATAGCGATTTGATAGCTGAGCTCCATTGCTTCTCAAGATGTAATGGCCGGAGATGCCGTTTGAAGGAATCGTCTGCAGACGTGTACAGCTACCAATTGTCAATTCAGTGACCTGATATCAGGGTAACAAGATCCACTTACAACGGAGAACGTCCTCTTAGCGGAAGATGGGGCATTTCTGAGTGTGAGTTTGTCCGCTGAAGTATTTTTGCCATTCCATATCCGCCGATATAGAGGAGACAGATCCCTGAGGCGATAGATACCACTGTGGCATGACTTAACTTCAATCTCTGCCGCCCCATCAACCCCTGATACGCACTTGATCACGGGTAATGAATGTGTAGACGGGGCGTAAACTCGGTAAAGTCGTGGAGAAGGGTGTAGTTTCGCACCCATGACGCTAACGACACCGCGCTTCACCCACAGATCGTAATGACCAATCAACACCAGACTCATTTTCTCCCTTATACGGACACACAGTGTATGTTCATCGCTGTAGACTATATTGCTCTTGCTCAAACGAGTTTTCGATAGAGGGAACTCTTGGACAGGCCCAGAAGTATCAGCGGGAGACTCGTAACTACAGACCATCAGTGTCTATGCCCAATGCAGCAGCTAGTACCTTAACACTTACCCATCAACATCACCTCTAAGAGGAGCGATTCCGGCATCATCCTCTCCCACAATTGGATTTTGCTCTTCAGTTTCTTCGTCTGAAGAAGACTGGTCCTCGGGTTCCTGGGGAGACGTGCGAACAGGCAATTGTTCACTAGATTCAACCGAAGGCGTTTTCTCCTTGCTCTCCACCGCTTTACTAGCTTTTAAGCTCTCAGCTTTCCGTTTTGAGGAGCGCGTTGTCCGTCCCTGAGGTTCTCCGCTGGCAGGCGGGGTTGGCACCGCTTGTTCTGGCGAACGTCGTGGTTTTTTCGCCGGTGGCTCCTGCGCTGGTTCTGGTTGTGAAGGTTTCGCCACAGCTACTGCGGCCTGCATTTGCTGCTGACGAGCCTTACGCGCCGCAACGGCACTCATCGGGGCCGGTGCTAAAGAAAGCCATGTCAGTAGACTTCTTCAATGAGGATAGTGAGGCGTTGCGCACCGGCCGCCTGTTGCTTTTCCGCCTTTCTCTTCATATTTTCTAAAACCACAATAAGAATGACTAAATTTCGAGGTCATTCGTCAGCGTCGCAAAGACCGGGGGAACGACGTTGGCGGCACTTTTTTTAGAAGATCATATTTGAGACCGCGGACTTTGATGGTGGTCCGTGCTTCGCGGAGCAGAAAAAAAAAGGTTATCGCTCTCACAAGAACTACGTCGTTCTCTTAATTCGTAAAGAATATTTGCTCTGTGAGTTTCATTCAATACGATCGCCAATTGCACCTGTGAAATATCTAGCGTTTATTCCTAAATATCCCCTCTCGTCTTGCGAAAACCAACTTTGCTCTGTAAGGCTTGGCGTTCCGCATCGCAAGCTCCATTTTTTTTTGCTCCGCAATCTTTCGCATCAACGAACATACTGTTCAGACATCCCGCGAAAGACACAATGGCCCCCAAGTCGAAGGAAGTAATCTCCTCGGATAGTGAGAGCAGTCGCTCCAGCTCTCCTGAAGTGTCGAAGAAAGCGGAGGTTTCCTCGAGTTCGGAATCCGAGAACAGCTCCAACGAGAGCGACGGTGATAATGACAGCGTTGCCTCCGAGACGCAGGACAAGAAAAAGTGAGCATTTGTCATGCAATATAGTAGCTTCAAATCTAATCCGGTACACATAGGTCCTCTAAGGTCTCCTTCCAGGCACGTCAACCCTACCGGGCACCCTCTGGTTTCAAAGCTGCGAAGAAGCAGTCGCCCCCCTCATCCGGCACTACCTCCCTTCTTTCCGATCTGCGCGGCAAACAAGTCTATCACATCACCGCTCCTGCATTCCTGCCTCTGTCTAAGGTAAAGGAGATCTCATTGGGCAAGGTCATGAAGGGCGAGCCAGTCATGAAGCACGAAGGTGTGCAGTACGGAATTCCAGCGGAGAGTATAACCCAGAGCGATGTGGGCGGAAAGGCACTTCTTTTGTACGACTCGAAATCTCAAACATACTACACTACATCCACAAACGGTATCCGGAGCTATCATGTCCAAGAGTTGATCAACCTTCCTGAAAGATCTGAGGAAAATGACACGGTGCTGGAAGCAGCCAAGGAGCAGATCAAGCCTCCAAGGAAGCAGCCCAAGCACCTCAAGATGCGTTTCCGACCCGTTGGTAGCGAGCAGGGACCACCGGAGACCCTTGGAAGCAGTTCCGAGGAGTCGGAGGGAGAGCAGCCGACATTCAAGGTACCCAAGGAGTCACGTAAGGAGAAGGAAGACAAGAAGCGAAAGCTCCATCAGACAGATGGAGAAGGTAGCCAGCCCAGTGCTGAGCCGCGGAAGAAATCTAAGAAAGAGGACGGAGTGGAGAAGGCTGAGAAATCGAAGAAGTCGAGTAAGAGCAAGGAAGAGAAGAAGCGCAAGAAATCAGATAAGTCTGCTTGAGGTTGATTCTGTGAATCATGATTGCGCTTGTTTCCTTTCCCACCAAAAGTTAAATGGTATTTGCTATGCATGAAGGCGTGATGATACCTGCAATGGCCTCTTCGAGCTTTACGGTTTTCTTTTAGTACCTCTGTTTCCTTCTTCTATTTTTCTCCCTGTTAGCCCTGCAGCATCTGTACATAAGAACGAAATGTAGAATTTCTGTTGTTCGAGTATTATGTCTGGTAAACTTGTCCTAGGACGTATGTAACTTAAGGGCTCGAGGGACCACCAGATGTAAGGGGTGGAAGAGAAACGAAAACTGAGGCATAATGCTTGGCAACCATAAATAGTGTTATGACTGGCAAAATATTTCCATGGATGACCATGTTCGTAGAAGGAGCATCATGGTCCGTGGTATTCAAGAGAGTGACCACAGATAGAACAGGCTGATCCAGGTTAGTAGTTGAGAGGCCCACTACTCCGTAAGGAGTGTCGATCAACCCGAGTCTATTTCGCCAATTAAGCATAGCCACTAAACCTCAATTATGGGGCCTCGTGAACTAATTTAGTCGTCCAACTGTCAGTGATCCATCGTATGTACTAGTACTAATCCTACCAAAGGTTGGATGAGCCCCTGGAGTCACAGGATTAATTATGACCGTAGGTTAAAAATAAGAAAAAACATGGACGAGCATGTAGTAAACAAGAACTACCTCACGGGTACTCAGTATGTATTATTGTTGGCAGTCAGACTTTCTTGACCGCATCCCCGTTAATTAATTAAATCTACCGACAGATCGGATCCTGGAGAATGACATAAGCCACCCAGGGACTGACTGCTATTGGCCCATTTGTGGACCACAATCACATGCACCGAGTCTGATTGGCTCCCGGTAGTTGAGGCGAACAGCTGATATGGACAAGTGACGCCAGACTCCAGACTCCCATGCTTCCTTCTCTTCGTGCCTAGAATTCACCCTGCGTCTCGTCGACCGCTTCTGCTCCTCTCATTCTTTCGTCGCTGGTCTCCAGTATGATCACCATGTTCCTCTCTTCGTGATGACTCACAACTTACCCCGTGTCCTGCTTTGGTGGCTTCCATCTCCGTTCTAGACGGGCCGTCGATACCATTCTAAACAGCGCTTATCGGCTCGCGGACACAAAGACGTTTTGGGTACTTCCCCGGCTTTTATTTTTCTTTTCTTTTTTCGTATGCTCTGCCATGTTTCCTGTAGCCCCTTTCTTTTTGTTTGTTCGTCCTGTCGAGAAATTTATGGGCAGTTAACTGATGACATGGCTAACCTAAGGTCATCTGTCGGCATAGCTCCTTCCGCCTTCGTCACTCGCGCGGACAACTCACTCCCTTGACTCAAGAGAGTACACCATACTCTTATGACCATCACTTCCCGCGTGCTCGCAGTCCTGTTTACCCTCCTAATACTTTGCTTCTTCTTCGTTTACGCTCTTTATTCTCTCGTCTCCGATATAGATGCCCAACATGAAGCCTCTCCTAGAAGACGCAAAGCGGCGAGTCGACCGTAGACTCAGTGCAGGCAGACAATCAATCTCTTCTAGTCGCATATTTTCCAGTGCCTTTCCGGAGCGGTTGAAAGACGACCATGATGCCCAGGTTGACTATACCGCACCACCTCGAGGAACCGGCTCTCGAGACGGTCCGCTGCCGTATATGCACCAGTCCATATTCTCGATGATTGCCGCCGTCGGCTCCAAATCTGATTTTCATGCGCGATTTGACGAATCGAGCGACAGCGAGGGAGAGGCAGACGGACAAACCCAGAAGCAACCTGGAAAAGGTTCATTAACGATTAAGAAGAATTCTCCGCTATCACCTACTCTCAAGCCTCAAAGCTCCTCTGAAGGAAGAGGGCGTCGCCATCGAAGGTCGATATCTGACAATAAACTCTTACGATCTTTGAAGCTGAATCCCAAGAGTAGTAAAGGTGCAGAAACAACTATACAAACTGAGCCTCCGACGAGCGATGAAATGTCTCCGCTTCCTTCTCCTAGGCGCGCACGGAGTGCCACTCCTCGCGCAGCTCCTATCCTCAGCCGTATGCTTGAAGCGGAGGCTCTCTTGGACAAAACGCAATCAGCAGAACAACCTCTATCATCTGTCAAGGCGGTGACCGATGGCACGTCTGAACAGTCATCTACATCCCCACTTTCTGTCCGACTGAAGGAGATGTTTGGGTTTGAAAAACCAGAAAAAGTACTTGTGGAGTATGCCTGCTCCCTATTACAAAACATTCTTCTTCAGGGGTACATGTACGTCACGGAGGGGCACATATGCTTTTACGCATATCTGCCTAGAAGGTCTGCCGTTACCATAAGGTCGGGATATCTTCATAAACGAGGCCGGAAGAATCCAAAGTACAACCGGTACTGGTTTTCCCTGAAAGGGGACGTTCTATCCTACTATACGGATCCGTCCAGTCTCTATTTTCCAAGTGGTCATGTTGATCTTCGATATGGAATTTCTGCTGCTTTGACTGAGCAAAAGGACAAAGATAAGGAAGTGCGAGATTTTCAAGTCACTACAGATCAACGAACATATTATTTCAGAGCGGATAGCTCTGCCAGTGCGAAAGAATGGGTTAAGGCTTTGCAAAAAGTTATCTTCCGAGCTCACAATGAGGGTGACAGTGTCAAGATTTCCTTCCCTATTGAGAGTATAATAGATATTGAGGAGAGCCCTATTACCGACCTTGCTGAGACATTTAAAATCCGGGTGGTTGAGAGTGATGAATCATATGCCATTGATGAGGTACGTCTTTCATGAGCGAAAACCACGTTGTCACTAAACATTGGGTCTAGTATTACTTCTCATTCTTTGAATCCGGTCGGGAGGCATATAACTTTGTGAAAGGGTTGATCAGTGAGAGCCCGATGAAAGCGTCCCAACTTTTACCCCGACCGGAGCAAACAATCCCTAAAAGTCGCACTCGTGGGTCCCGGAACAGATGGTCGTTAAATAGTGACTTGAGTCAATCTCGAGGAAATGGAACTATCAAAACGCAGCGTCAACGGAGTGCAAGTACCGGCCATACTAACTCTGGTCCCGATGGAATCGGAATGTCTCCCCGACAGAAGGATTTATCAGATTCATTTGTCAATTCTTACGAGCAAGCAACAGACGCTTCGGCGGTTCTCCAGTCGATGACCGAAACAACAGAGTCTGCTAGCCAGATCCTGAATCGAAGTGATGTTTTCCAGTCCCCCACAATCCACACCTTGCAACAATGGCGTTCCGATGGAGACAGGACAGGCCGTCGGCTTTCAGACGGAACGGCGCGGTCAACGCAGCCCAACACCGCTGATGCTAAAAGAAATGGGCAGGAGCTGCAATATGCCAGCAGTGAGTCCGATCAGGGCACACAGCACCCATCTAAGGTGAACTCATCAGCACCAACCTTGAATGAACTGGTCAAAGCTGGTGCGTATCCCCTTCAGCGGGCTGCCGGATTTGCAGAGTATTTGAGAAACCGGTCAAGGCAAATGAGCAATCTTCTGGCAAGCGAATCAATGGGTTACATTGAGAAAGTCTCCGGGATGTGGGCCGGTGGCCGCAGACATTATGGAGAATCTGAAGGCGTGCTACCAGATGATCAGGATGTTGACCCTGAAGACAAGGAAGATGGTGTTAAGCATGGCGATCGTTTCCGTGCCCACTTCGCCTTGCCACCAACCGAAAGGCTGCAAGCTACTTATTACGCCTATCTCCATCGTGTCCTCCCGCTTTACGGGAAAATATATATCAGCCAGAAAAAGCTTTGTTTTCGTAGTCTTATTCCGGGAACACGCACCAAGCTGATACTACCACTTAAAGACATTGAAAATGTGGAGAAAGAGAAAGGCTTTCGGTTTGGATACCAGGGGCTTGTCATCATCATTCGGGGACACGAAGAGTTGTTCTTCGAGTTTAATACGGCAGACGCTCGAGATGATTGTGCGGTCACAGTACACCAAAGCCTCGAGTCTATGAGGTTTTTGTTAGAATCTGGCCTGCTAGCAGAACAGGAAAAAGACGAGATCGAATCAGCCCAAGCAGAGCATCGCATGCTGCAGGAAGCTAGGTTAGATGGAGCTGGTGAGCACGACTCTCACACATCTGTGAATGAGTCATCGGAGCTTCATCCTATTTTTGACGACCCTCGTGCTTCGATTATTAACTTCAAGCCCTCCGAGTCATTGCGCATTACATGCCTTACCATCGGTTCGCGGGGTGACGTGCAGCCGTATATTGCCCTGTGTAAAGGATTGATAGCAGAAGGCCATAAACCTAAAATTGCAACCCACGCAGAGTTCGAACCGTGGGTGAGGCAGCATGGTATTGACTTTGCCCCGGTTGATGGTGATCCTGCTGAGCTCATGAGAATATGCGTGGAGAATGGAATGTTTACATATTCATTCTTGAAAGAGGCGTCCACCAAGTTTCGAGGATGGATTGACGACCTTCTATCTTCAGCATGGGTCAGTTGTCAGGACAGTGATCTTCTTATTGAATCTCCAAGTGCAATGGCTGGTATTCATATCGCCGAGGCACTCAGAATACCCTATTTCCGTGCCTTCACGATGCCGTGGTCCAGAACAAGAGCATATCCGCATGCCTTCGCTGTCCCGGAGAATAAGATGGGCGGTGCGTACAACTACATCACCTATGTCATGTTCGACACCGTCTTCTGGAAAGCCATTGCGGGACAGGTCAATCGTTGGAGAAAGAAGCAGCTCGGACTAAAGGCGACCACTCTCGATAAGATGCAGCCGAACAAGGTTCCCTTCCTTTATAACTATTCTCCTTCTGTGGTGGCCCCTCCATTGGACTATCCGGACTGGATACGTATAACAGGATATTGGTTCCTAAGTGAGGGGAGCAATTGGACTCCTCCAGCAGACCTGCTTGACTTCATTCACCGTGCCCGCAGCGATGGCAAAAGAATTGTCTACATTGGGTTCGGGTCTATCGTCGTATCTGACCCTTCGGCTCTCACACGAACTGTGGTTGAATCCGTCCAAAAGGCCGATGTCCGTTGCATTCTGTCGAAGGGGTGGTCAGATCGACTAGGAGATCCTGCCAGTGCGAAGGTCGAGATTCCCTTACCGCCGGAGATTTTCCAAATTCAAGCAGCGCCACATGACTGGCTGTTTTCCCAGATCGACGCAGCGGCACACCATGGTGGTGCTGGCACTACCGGAGCGAGCCTTCGGGCAGGTCTTCCTACCATCGTTAAGCCGTTCTTTGGTGACCAGTTCTTCTTTGGCACCCGCGTCGAAGACTTGGGCGTGGGTATCTGTATGAAGAAGTTGAATGTAAGCGTGTTTTCGCGGGCTCTGTGGGAGGCTACCCATAGTGAGAGAATGATTGTAAAGGCTCGAGAGCTAGGTGCACAGATACGGAGCGTAAGTCTCCGAGCTATCCTTTGTCATGGTTCCTTAGCTAACATTCAACCAGGAAAACGGCGTGGATACGGCTATTCAAGCAATATATCGTGACCTGGAGTACGCCAAAACACTGGCTCGACAGCGCTCGATTGTCTCGTCAACTCCATTCTCCCCAACACCATCGGCTAAAACCACAGCCGAGCAGGAGGAAGATGACATGGATGACAGTGAAGAGTGGACATTTGTCGGTGACGACACAGAAATTGATGTTTCAAGACGGCTGCGCGATCGAGCAGTGTCTGATGCTGATATGCTACCTGAACCAGTTACAAGCGCATCGTAGGCAGACTATCGACATACCTTGCGATGTTGCCATCACTACTTGCGAGACACCCTTTCTTATCGGCTCATGACTTATGGCTCTGCCTATTTCTTCGCTACGGATGTTACTTTGGGTGCCCCGCTTGACTTCTGCTTAAACTCTTTATATTTATTATCTATTTCATTTTTAGTGTTTCTCTTTCGAACAGATCGCATGGATTTAGATGGTTTACGACGGTCTCACCTCGGTTGTTTCCTTTCCCCCTTTGCGTTAATATTATAAGTGATGACTGATGATTGTTTGGGCGGTGATATACACATGAACTGCTTTCGGCCAGCCGCTTTCCTGGCTATGATGGCGGCATCAGCCTATATATTAATTCCTTTTTGTCCATTCTGTGATAGACCGGTATAATGGCCCGGCGCAGGAAGCATAGTTTGTGCATTATTATTTTATTCAGTTCATAATCGATCCCATCGGACGAATAGAGAGCAAGAATTGCTTATATCTACACCAATCAAGGCAGCACTTTGTTTCATCCCAACCCTCACTAGGATATACGCAAACCGAGCAAATGAAAAAAAAAAAATGTTTTCTAAGCCAGACAAGGTCATTAAAAAGGCAGAATCATGAAAACGAGCCTTAAGCACCCGAAGGGCCCTTTGCCGTATCATCGTCTTCGTCGCCCTTGCCCTCCGCCTTGTCTTTCCGACGCTGCACGACGTCCCAGTTATAGACACGAGCCGTAGCAACCTCCATCGTCTGCGACAAGTTAGCACCGAACCACACATATATACTAGCTCTAAGAAGCTGAAGCAGCGTATATAGATAGGCAGAAAGAAGCACGAGAGGGGGAAAGAGTACCGTAATCTGCTCCCTCAAGAACTCCAAATCCTCATCACAATTCTCCAGACTCAACTGCGCCGTGGACAACTTCTCCGTCAACATAGTCTCCGCCTCCCCAATCGGATAAGCCAACATAACATTCGCCCCGAGCCAAAGATACACCTCCTCCGTGTCCGCAGGGTCGACCGTCGCACGCGCATAGAGCGTATCGTTCAATTCGAAATTCGTCTCCAGCGGGTCGGCGTTATTATCGCGCCGCATCTTGAGAAACTTGACCATTTCCAACGTCTTCTTGATATCCGGGATCTTTTCACGGAGGCCCGCCGCCCGTCGTTGTGTGTTTACTTCCATGAACTGGTACTTGGAGATCATCTCCTGGAAGGAGCGGAGTGTGGGCTCGACGTCTGCGCGCGTCGAGACGTAGTCGGTTACATTGTCGACGAAGGGGGCGACGGGGATACCGCGCGGGTTAGTCTCAGGGTTTATTGTTCTGGTTTTTCAGCGGCTGGTTAGTTACTTTGCGGTGGTGGTTTTTGTTTTTTGTTTTTTTTCTAGCTTAGGGATTTGCTTGTTGGCGAGTGGGATGGTGGAGGGGTTATGATTTCGCCGTGGAATTTTGGTTTCTCGCATATTTTTGAGCGTGGCGACTTACGGGGTCTTTTTGTCTGCCATTGTGGCATGTCAGACTGGTGTCAGTCTGAATGGGGGAGGAGAGGGGGAGGAAAGAAAGAGGGAAATGAGGGAGTAATATGTCGAGTGATAGCAGCGTTATCTTGGATGAAGCCGTAAACGCTGCAAGGTTCATGTGGGGGAGCATCTTGCCTATTCGGGAAAGGTGGCGGTACTGAACTGTATTCGCGGTAAGCTTCAAGTGCCTGGTTGCGTTAGGGCTGAGCGTTAGTATATCGATATCACTTTGGTTTTTGCTTTATTATTGCAGGTCTGTTCTCTTAATATTCTTCTTTGCTATTCGGGTTTCTAGTACTGTTAATATCCTTGGGTGATTCTTGGCGGACTCTACTTGGAGATCCCTTCGGAGTGATATACTTCGCGTATATGCTCAGATGTTAGTAGCACTCAGTGAATATACGGCTTACCGCAAGCAGTAGTTACTTTAGTTTTCTAATAAATGGGAAGCTAGATCAAACTACAAATATATTATCAGTGATAATGCCCATGGCCATCGCGCAAAATGTTCATTGTATAAGAGACAGCCAATCTATCCCGATAGTATGACTGCTAAACATAACCCGCAACCTACAGATCAATTTCATTTGACGGTCTTGCCAGATTGGCCCTCCAGTGGTGAGTATTGACAGGATCCTTTCGATACAGATTAAGCTCGAAGAACTTGTTGTGCAGGGCACACCTGAAGTTCTTGTAACTACTTCCGCTTAGCAATTGCCTTTCATAGATAGCATGGTATAAAACCTACGAATTCAACTTCTGGAAGTTCTTCTCGATGAGCCATTGCTCACTAACTTCGATAAATTCCGCCCCAGAGAGATCTCGACGTGGTATGAAGTATCTTCTGCCCTCCAGCGGGCCGTAGTTCACTTGCTTTACCAACTGTACCGCGTATTCGGGTACGGTCGATGAAGCATCGTAGTCGGAGGAGACTTCGCTCGTCACGGTCCAGTGAGCCCATTCCAGGAATTCGTTGAACTTGCTCTCCTGACCCAAAATTTGCGGCCGGTAAGGGGTAATGTGCGTACAGCAGAAGATGGGGGTAGGGATTGAAGCCATCTTATAGGGCACTAACAAGGATAGATAGCATGCCGGAGAAAAGCCACGGGGGATTATAGAGTGGACTTGAAGCAAGGAACTGTTTATCTGGGAGGACACCATAACTTATAGTACATTGTATGAGATGTACTTCTGTCAAAGAGGATGAGGATGGAAATGCTTTCCGCTATCCCAAACTAACCACACGGTCCACACCCTATGGTTTTGAGGCCTCCCAAACTCTCGTACGGCTGTTCGATGCATTCCTGACGTCTTTTGCATCCTTTCGCATGAGAGCTGGCCCAATGAGCAATATACGATTTGAGGCCTACTGTTGATCCCCCACCAGGGCGAGGATCTGCAATAGATGCATAAGGCCCGGCCAATGAAACATCCCCGTTTTGAGGCCTACCATAGCCTCGCCAACCTGAGGCATCCACCAAGCCAGGTTAAATATTGCTGCTTCGCCCTCAATCTCTAAAGCTTCTTTCCTTTCTTTTCCTCTCCAGGGCAGTGGAGCTGCCACTCGTCCGCTCTTTACCTCTTGTTTCCGATTCTGAATTCTTGCGAAATTGTTCTATTGTGCTCTTTCTCCCCTTCCCGCCTTGTACATCTACGTGGAATCGTTCCCTCTGGTCCCACGTAGTTTGATCTATCCTGCAACCCGGCGCCGTTTGCTGCTTGTTGGAGAAATCATCTGGCAAGAGAATACATAGCCCTTAACCTTCTGTACCCGGAGTTTCTACTCTTATACCGAGCTCCAGATCAGATAGCGTAGGTCGGCCACCACAGGTATTAAACTATTATCACACAACACTTGACGGGACTGTCGACCCTCGCTGGCTCGATACTGCTGATCGGACGGGTCCGAAGGCACTGCCAGCGTCAGATGATTCTCTCCATCACTTGAGCCAAGTCACTCCACCACAGGAACTTGATCAGAGTCAATATCGGGAAGGAGAGTCTGCACATAGCAATTTCAATTCGCCGCAATTTATTTCCCAACAACACTCGCCCCAGACACAACATATTGTACCTGGATTACCGTCGGATCTTTCAACTCCAGGACAAGATACTTCGTCTTCCAGCCAACCGATTGATCTCCCCCAACAGTCGTTCCAGTGCGATCTGTGTAATAGAGTGTTTGACAAAAGATATCATCTCAAGTAAGTGGCAGTCAGAAGTTGTAAGCAGATTTCTGATCCGTGTTCTAATTTTGCATAGCAAACACAAGAGATCCAAACACGATAGCCCTCACAAGTGTGACGTCGCAGGATGTGACCGAACGGAGGGGTTCCAATCCAAGAAGGATCTTAAACGGCATTACAGCACTGTCCACAGGAACGGAAGCTCCACGGGTTATTTCTGTGAGTATTCCTGGTGCCCCGCTTCCAAGCTACGACGTGAGCGCGAGGGAAAGCCTGGAATGCGGTATGACAACTTTCGGCGGCATATGGGACGTCACCCTGGTTTTAGACAGTGATCTAGATTGAGAGACTGAGTGGCAATTTTAGAAATCCGATATGTTAGAATGTCCGAAAGGGTTCGGAGAAGGGTTTCTCCTTATTGAAGTAAGCTGCAACTGATCAAATGGCTATTGTTAATACTGTAGTTCAAAGGGTATATGGTAAATAGTAGGGCACCTTGAAAAATATAGGTACAACAATAGCTCAACTACATGAATTGCTACTTGTCAACTATTGATACTATGGCCCTGCTTGATATCTAGTAATATTTCAAGAGGCATTGACATAGCTTCCAAACTTGGCAGTCTAGTATATATAGGTACCCCTACATGTTGAGGAACTGTCTATAGACCCTTTCGGAAATACCCGGGTGGTCACAGGGTCTGCTCCGAGGTTTCCCGAGTTCATCTGACTTGATGGAAACAATCCACATCGTCTACACTATCTAGAACCAGCCAATCCAAGATGCCCACGGCCAAGACTAAATGCAAAGTCGCTTGTAAATCGTGCAATTTGCGACGTGTCAAGTGTGATCGAACTGAGGAAGCACCATGCACATACTGCCGACTGGTAGGGCAGGATTGCCAGCCCATTGTTTCGAGACGTGGAAAGTATGCTTGCCTTTCATACTTGGCTTTTACGCATAGAACACGAATGGACAATAGGCTAAAATAATCCAGGTATAAACGAAATCATGATAAAAGCACTGATACTCGGCCGGCACTTCGTCGGTCGTCACGAAAGCAGCAAAATGAACGTAATCCTACCAGTGCCGTATCGGTTGAATCCACTTCAGATACCATTATCAATACTAGTAGCCCAAGCTTTGGTGATGGGAATACTACTGCTGAAGCACGGTCGTGTGAGCCATCCAATCTCCAGTCAAGTACCCCACCACCAAGGCAAGGCTATCATTATTCCTCGCCGAGCTCAGACAGTAAGGTGGTCTACTACGGCGATTCCTTCAATCTTGACTATATGTTGCATGAAATGGGAGACCCTTTAGGTGCATCCCGTAATGGCCGCACTTGGGAGGATGCTCTCGAGCACTTATACTTCAGCCAGCTAGGGCAATCAACGAAAACACAGATAGAAGAGCATTCTCGAAACCAGCGTCTGCAGCTGAGAGACATTGGCGCGCTTAAACCTTTCGAAAAGAATGCCAGTGACGACTTGATTAAGGTTTTCTTTGAGATGTGCTACCCTCAGTGTCCTATATTTGATCGAGCAGACTTTCAGCTTAAGTACGAGGCTGGAAGGGTGTCACCGCTGGTTTTGCAAGCTGTGTACTTCGTGGCCCTCAATCATTGCAGTGAAGAAGTCTACAAGCGGACCGGCTTTGAAAATAGATATTTGGCAACATTTACATGTTATCAAAGAGCGAAAACCTTGTACGACACAAACTACGAATCTGACGCTATAGCGACTCTTCAAGCGGTCTATCTGTTGTCTTTCTGGTGGGGAAGCCCAATGGAACAGAAGGACATGTGGTACTGGACTGGTATTGCATGTAATCGAGCACATTCACTAGGGCTGCATCAACGGTTGGTCATTGATGAAAGATTCTTTGAGCTGGCTGACGCTTTCCTAGGAAAACTTATTTGGGGTTAAGTGAGAGGAATAGAAAGCTATGGAGGAGGATTTGGTGGATTATTTACGTATGATACCCTGCGTTAAACTGTGGCATTTGCTGACTTATTTATATAGGTACATGACATCTCTGTAACAATCATGCTAGGACGAACTCCGCACATCAACGATGCGTACTGCAGTGTAGAGATGTTGGGTGAAGATGATTTCGAAACATCAGACAATGAATTGATCGATTTTGATCTGTTTCGAGAACCCACTCGTGAAAGCCGCCTTTATATTATCCACTTAACAGAATTATATTCGCGAAGTATGTTCACTTGGTTGTGCTCTCGGCTAAAGCCTTGCTAACATTGCAGAAGCAAGTAAATGCTGGTTAAACATAGCTGGAGCAAACTCCAATGAATCAATGATTCGCAAAAGCCTGGACGATCTTATATCCTGGAAAGCGTCCCTTCCAAGAGAATTACAGCACCGAGAATCTGCAGTTACTGTGGAAGATGGCCTCTGGGCTACCCTGGTTCATCTTAGTTACTTGTAAGAACCCTCCACCTCGAAGAAATACCTCTAACAGACCTTAGCACCGTGCAGATCTTAATACGCCGGAACGGTTTAAATGATCCTGACAGAATGAAGGTCGGATCAATTGTGTTTGATGCAGCTGTGCAAATCGTGCGAATATTGGAGGACCTTGTATCATCGCAACTTCTTCCTTTTGCATTGATGCGCAGGTATGTTCTTCCTCTGCACATTAGCCTTGCTGAGAGATATTCACAAACCAAGTGCGCCGGCTGTTTTCGCCGCTCTCTCTGTTCAGATCGCAAACATGCGCGGATGCCCATCCCATGTGGTCGACGTTTCGAAGCATAGAGCCCGACTCTGTATGATGATCATAAACAAGCTGCAAGACCACTCGCCTCCACTCCTGTGGTACTATCGTCTTTTTGTACGGATATTGCGTAGTATGGGTTGTGATGTTCCCGATGAAGACAATCGAGATGCTTCACATCATTCTGGCCCATCCGATCAGCGTGTGCATGGGCTTCGCTCACCTACAACCGACTTTCTCTACAACAACCCATTTGAGAATAGCGCACAAGAGGTTGAAGCGAACTATACCTCCAATGATCTATTGACCAGCAATCCAGCTCTTTGCGACTTTGGCCTGTCTGGGATGACAGCATCGTTTGTATTCTCCAGCTTCCTTAACAGCGACTTGATTGATGGGGCATCGACGGATCTTGGGAACCCCAGTCTCGACCCATCGGCTCTGTGAAACGTGGAAGTAGCTGCCTAACTGACGGAAAACACATGGCGAAATGCGACTACAACAAACTTCATCCAAGCCGAACCCACAGCTCTTATTGCACATATATAGACAACACACAAACCCATATCACCTCCGATACCATATCCTAGTCACTTTCGTCCTCCTCATCTTCTTCTGGAGCTGAAAAACCGCATACATCAGAGCCTCCGGCGTCGGCGGACACCCCGGCACATAAATATCCACAGGAACTACCCGATCAACACCCCTGACCACACTATAACTATAGTAATAGTATCCACCCCCATTAGCACAGCTCCCCATACTGATCACCCACTTCGGGTCCGGCATCTGATCGTATAGCTGCCTCAACGCCGGCGCCATCTTGTTAGTTACTGTTCCCGCAACAATCATGACGTCGGATTGGCGGGGCGAGGCCCGGAAGATGATTCCTAGGCGGTCTTGGTCGTATCGTGGCATGGAGACATGCATCATTTCGATACCGCAGCATGCGAGGGCGAAGGTGAGGGGCCAGAGGGAGCCTTGGCGGGCCCAGTTGATGAGCTGGTCGGTTGTTGTTCTGGTTACGTGGTTAGCTGGTGTTGTTGGAATGGGTTTAGATAGATGGGGATCGTACAGGAAATATTCAAGTTTGCCGTTATCTTCTTTCTTGTTCGTGCTGATGCCCTGCTCTTGACTCGGGAGCTTGGGGACCGTGTGTGGATTCCAGGTTGAGGATTGCCGGATTTGTTTGGTCTTGAGTGCCGAAGGTGTTAATCTTCTATAGGTTATAGGAATGTATGTACAGGCTTGTTTCCATGTGTGGAGTCTCTGTATTTGAGTCCTCATTGTTAAGGCTGTTGTCGTCCACATGGGTACACTTCTGTTGTCGGCGGAGGACGACTGATATGTTTTCGAGGAAAATAAGAAAAATAAATGAAGGAAGGTGAAAGAAAAGAATGTATTCCACAGTTACGCGATTGACCTGCATATATTAGAAAAACATGTTTATATCGCCGACATGCTGTTCAGTGTCATGTCGGCGATATGCAGGACAAGCTTTGGCTCAAATCGGCGATATGCTTCTCGTATTGGGTTTTCCCTCGATAGGCCAACCGCACAGCGTCAGTCTATGAGTATGAAAAATCTGTCTTTGTGTAGAATATGCTCAATTGGCATTGATTCCCCTATTGACCGCAGATTTGGGCTAGAATTCCGAAAATGTATGTCGTCAAGGTCACTCAACAGTGTATAAACCTGGGCTAAGGTACGGACAACAAAGCTGACAATTTACTTTTACACACACCTGTCACGTATCACTGGTATGCTTAAAACACTTGTATCCCATTCTCCCTTTACAATGTCGCCTTACACTGACTACTAACTAGTATTGACTTCATGCAGCCTATAGAAAGGTATGGCCAATAATCTATCCCACGTCAGGTGCGGGGAGACAACCGTCGATCGCGGGGACAACAATTGCACCTTCACGCTCCCAACTCCCCATCCACGACCTACATAACATTAAAAGAGCACCAACAGAATGGCAGCATACCCTCGTCCAGATTTCCAACGCCCAGCCCTCAATTGGACGTCGCTCGACGGTCCCTGGGACTTCATCTTCGACGATGCAGACAACGGTCTATCACAGCGTTGGCCCCAGAAGGGGATCCCCGCCAGCACTGCCACCTGCGCCAAACGCCAAATTCAAGTTCCGTATGCATTTCAAACTCCCGCATCAGGAATTGGCCTTCACGAGGCTCACGAGGTGCTGTGGTACGAGCGTACTATAGAAGATATTCGTACGGCGGACGAACTGGCCAAGGGGAACCGATTAGTGCTTCGCTTTGGTGCAGTAGACTATGACTGCAGTGTCTGGGTTGATGGCCAGGTGGTCGGAGGGCATCGGGGTGGTCATGTGCCCTTTGAGATCGATGTGACCGATGCCCTCGAGGCCCAAGAGAGTACTACGGCGGCTAGACGTCTAACGGTTCGGGTTAGAGACTCACCATCTGATCTTTGTCAGCCGCGCGGGAAACAGTATTGGGGCCCTGTCCCTGAAAGTATCTTTTACACACCGACGAGTGGAATCTGGTTGTCTGTTTGGTTGGAGAGTGTGCCCAGGATGCGATTGGGCAGTAGCAGTGACGGCCTGGTCTTCCGGTCGGATGATATCAACCGGGGACAGCTTTATGCACAGGTCGTGGTGCTAGGTCGCCCAGCAGCGGCGAAGTGTCAGGTAGAGATCGAGGCGAGTCTAGGGGGTTTCGTTTTGAGTCGCAGCAGACAAGATCTGCCACAAGACAAAGACTACGCGAGTCTCGATGTGGACATGCGTGGGTCGGACACTGGCCCGTTGAAGGAAAAGGCTCCTTTCAACGTTGATGGGTGCTGGCACAATGGAGTAGCGCTCTGGTCACCCGAGCACCCTAACCTATATGACTTGGCTTTGCGTCTATATGATGCATCGGGTAACCTGGTTGATGTGGTTGAGACTACAACCGGTATGCGCAGTATAACCTGGAAGAATGGGGACGGGACCTTCCGGCTCAATGGGAAGCCTCGTTTCCAAACCCTGGTACTAGATCAAGGGTATTGGCCGGAGACCGGCTTGACACCCCCTTCGCAGGAGGCACTGAAGGCTGATATCGAGATGGCGAAGGAAATGGGCATCAATGGGTGCCGAAAGCATCAAAAGGTGGAAGACCCCGTCTTCCTTTACTGGGCTGACAGACTGGGATTTCTGGTCTGGGGAGAGATAGCGAATGCCTACGAGTTCAGTGACGAATACATCTCTCGGTTCAACAGCGAGTGGATAGAAGCTGTCAGAAGGGACATCAACCATCCATCTATCGTAGCCTGGACTCCTTTCAACGAGAGCTGGGGATATCCTTCCCTGAAGGATAACATCGAGCAGCGGAACCATATCCGAGCGGTGTACTACTTGACGAAGTGCGTTCTTTGACTTTTTTCCTAATAGTGTATCCTCTTGTCATAGACTGACCGGTCTAATAGGACTCTGGATCCCACTCGACCCATTAATGACAACTGCGGCTGGGAGCACGTTTCGACAGACTTGACAACCTACCACGACTACTCCGATCACCCTGCACTGGCCGCAACCTGTGCCGACTTCGATAATGGCATTCTGGGCCAGAAATCAGATCGCGACATGTTTGTGCGCCCAATTTCTTCCGCTGGCTCTCAACCCCTGGACCCCGGCACTCAACATACGCCAGGAGCCCCAGTGATTTGCTCTGAATTCGGAGGAGTAAATATCATTCCGGCAAAGGGTACTGCCGCTGGTGAAAGGGACTGGGGCTATACTACCGCAAGCAATCCGGAAGACTTGCTGAGCCGTCTTGAAAAGCTAGTGATGGCTGTCGTCAAGGGAGGGCATACATGTGGCTTGGTATATACGCAGTTGTACGTTCCCACCCTTTTCATTTGCATTGCTCTGCATATATTTAGAGTTTACATGCGTTTCACTGTTTTCCTAATAGAGGATATGGGCTATGGAGAACCTGATAGCTAACTCAGATGCAGGTGCGATATCGAGCAAGAAGTCAACGGTTTGTACTCGTACGATCGCAAAGAGAAAGTGCCGGCAGCCAGAGTGAAGGCCATCATGGATGTTGCCAATAAATACTACTACGAGCACGTAGCACCGAAGTAAATCCGGAATATTAAGCGATGGGGAGAGGCGAGCTTTAGTTTGACCTTCTCCTAGACACTAGCAGCAGTATAAGTAAATGCTAAATCCTGATCTGTCAACCGTAACATTATATTTGCGACGACGACATGAGAATCTACGCGTCAGGTCTCAGCAAACAGTGAATGGATATCATGTACGGCTTCTAGACCGAATCTCCATTCAATCCATAACACACTTCTTCACATAGCCTGCTTGTTTACCAGTTACGTGAAACTCTAATCTTTGTATATACAACGGGACGTGCATGATAGTTTCCACTCTATTTCATATTTGCCGTAGTAACTTATGTGTGGTATTATGCCTGGGAAATATGACCAATTTTGAATATTATAGTAGTCATGATATGCTGCAAGGGCTGATGTTTCAAATGGCTAAAATTATTCAGTAATATTCATTCTACCAGCATTAATTTCCATGCCACCTCTTGCTATCGAGAACACTATATATCTGCGACATACCTCACCCATCGCATTGGTATGGCAGTGAGTGTCCTTTGCACAGAGAGGTGGAATGTAATACGGACGGGCCAACGACGCCCAGCAAGTGATGGTAGGGGGCTCGCTGTGCGATGGGATCTACATTTCAACGCTAAACATGTTTCGCATTGCATTCTCATGGTGATGCAAGAATATGTGGTGATCTGTTACTCTGGCCGAGCCAAGCTCAACAGAAATAGAACCATGATTCCGTTCTGAGACTCGTTCTCCATAGTTGCATGCACTATTCCTATATAGCGGATCATTCTGAAGAGCAACTGCGAAGTTTTAGGCAATGATTTGCGTCCAGCTTCTTGCTTGATGTTTGTACCGCCCTAGAGGATGCGCGTACGGCCCCATCTTCCTAAGCTGGACGGTGGGTTGAAGATTGTCAAGTGAACTATCATGTAAACCAGTTCACAACAGATGTATGTATGTCAAGCAAAGACGGACATGTAACACGCATTTAGCAGGGGCAGACCGACAAACCAATATGCTTCAAGCATACACGTTTCTCTCTAGCCATGTTTAATCCTGTGGATCGATTTCAGACCCTGCATCTAGATAACATTTAGCAAAGCGTCTCCCTTGCTGGTGGCGCATATTGAACTGCTCCGCTTCGTTCTTGGCTTTTTTTTTTTTCCTTTTTTTCTTGGCACTGGGAAGACGCGAAAGAACCCTAGAGAGAAACTTTCGATTTGGCCAACTTTGTGCTTCAACGTTAACCACAGGAAACCCCTTACTTCGTACCGGCCGGGGCTCCATCAGCTCGTCTCGCTCTCTACATAAGGTTAAACCTACCAAGAAAAGCCATGGGGCTTAATTCAACCTGCTCCCTGATTCCCAAGTAGATACTTTTGTTTGGCCATTTTGGGGAAACACTGTCCCCCCATGTCTGCAGGCAAAACTGTAATGGGTTACTACAGAAAAGCAATATATCACGGTCAACCACCGGTACAAATTCCCAGGAGAGCCTCATGTGTTATATAAATACGGCTGTGGGTGTAGTATAGCCGTGACTGTGAGGAATGGGGGCATGCGAGGAAGGTGAAAATTCGACCTCTCACCTGCACATTGCACATTTGTATCAGATGCATGCCAAGAAAGCACAAGTTGGTCAAGATGACGCGGACAGACCCCCTCCCACTGTGTGAGATTACGCCTCATACAGGACTTGTCTTTATGTCCCCTCCTAACGATGTTGGACCTCGCACATCAGGGATCCCTGGAGCTCGAGTAACGTCCGACTCGCGCCTGGTTCTCTCGAGCTCTCTACCCAGCTTGCCCCATCCAACGTGAATAGCAGACACCATGACGATCGATAGTACTGGCCCCCGGGGGTTATTAGCCGCGTAGATCGGCTAAATGATGGCAATGAATGAAGCAGGGATGGATGGATGGATGCCATCCTGTGCTCGAAGCCGGAGACCAGCTTCCACTTGACTAGTTTCAACCAATTTACGAGCGGGGATTGCTGTTCGGACACAACCCGATTTGTTATCATATGGCAATTGGTTTCGGGGGGGTGACGGTCCATGGGAGCGAGCTGGCCAGAGGCGCGCTCACCACACTCCTTGCCGGAAAGCGTGCTATCAGCGTCGAGCACAACTCCAAATTCGCTATCTCAATTCAATGAGGTTCGAAGGATACTTCCCGGGGTTTCCTTCCAGATGCCGATTGTTTGATCAAGTGAGATGCCGGAATACGAAAGATCCCGATGAGCTCCAAAATGCACGTATCGCCAGTCAGTTGTGTATGGCAGGTTTAGGTTCATCGGAAGAGAGGTCAGTTCGACAGATTCGTCCTGTGGGGTTGCTCTCAGGCCGACGGCACACATTCCTCCTGACGACGATGCAGTCATGCATGTTCGCTGTCTGGGCCAACAGCAACGGAATGCGCGTCGAACTGGAGCGGACTGTCAAGTAGACATCGATTATGTTACTCCGAATGGCCACTGGAATTTGGTGGATATGTCCTAAAGAACACAACATTTTGACTGAAACAGAGAGAGAGAGAGAGTATAGTACAGTATTGATGTGAAGGAGGTACGGAATAGAATATCTACACTTCCCATCTAGCAAACCATGCCTGTTCCTGACAAGCTTATTTTCCCATCCGAATCAGCAGTATAAATAGCAAAGTAGTCGCCAAGACGACCAGAGCCACGACCGTGAATCCCCACCCACGCCCCAAGGCGTGCAGCATTGGATCGATCAAGGCCGTACCGCCGGCTGTTAGCAGGCATCGGACCAGATTACTGGCAGCCGACGCAGCAGCTGGACTGGATGGGTGGAGATCAACTAGGAATACAGAGGCGCAGTTGAACGCACTCGTCAAGGACAAGGAGAGGAAGAAGAAAAAGGTTACCGGCACAGCTAGGTGCACAGCGAATTGTAATAGCCACCCAAATGCCAGGATGACCAGACCACCAGCAATTACAAATGGCAACGCGACTGTGCAACGAGCCTTGGCCAGTGGGACAACCGAGTCATGGTCATCATCATTCAATGCATCAAGGTCATGGCTAGATGCCATGGCCAGGGAGCGAAGCCGTCGGTAATAGGCATCAAGGATCCTTCCAGTCAAGACCGATGCCGCCATAGCGCCTGCACCAAGGGGAATATAGCAGAGACCAATCTGTAGGTCATTGAGTGCGTACAAGCGATGGAAGTTTGGCGGGATGGAGGCCGAGACGACCATGTACCCAGCCAGCATCACCCCGATAGCCAAAATGAGGATAATTGACGTTTTCTCACACAGTATGGATAGCGACTTGAATAGTGAGGAGATCTGGAATCGGCGTTTCCCTGCCTTGTCCTGATCCTCAGCACCGCTTGTTGGAGGCTCTTGGGCTCCCGTGTTGCCGCAGACATAATGGATCCAGGGCCGATTCCATGTCTGGGGTGTCCCAGAGCCATTCCCGACAAGATGCCGTGCAGTCTCAGGGAAGAAGAACAACATGGATAAAAAGAAGGTGGCGGCCAGTAGGACGAGGAACCAAAATATGGCCCGCCAGCCCAAGTATTGGGACAGAAGACCCCCCACGACGGGACCTACGGCAGGCCCCAGAAATGTCACGGCCAAAACAAAGCCCATTGCGGACCCGCGCTCAGCTTTGGGGGTGATGTCGACGACAACCGCAGTGGATATTGCCACGGTGCTGCTGCAGCCAGCGCTCTGTATACAACGGAGGAGAAGGAGAGCTACAAAATTATCCTGGACGGCCAGTCCAATATTGGCGGCGATATAAATGACGAAGCAGATAATGAAGGCCGGTCGACGACCAAGTTGATCTGCCAGGGGACCAAGGACAATGGGAGAGATACCTTGAAAAACCTGAAACGTAATCGATTAGCCGACGACTGCTTTTTCCATTTACCATTTCCCGGGTGTTTTACCATGAAGCTTGTTAATGTTAAATTGATCAAGGCTATAGATACGCCCATGTCCGTAGCCAGCGTGTTCAGCGCTGGGAAATATATCGGCGCTGACAGTCCAGAAAAGAAGCTCGCCCCCGATGCCATTGTGACAATGTACCTTTTCTGAAGTGTGGTGAAAATAGTATAGGGAGGCTGAACGCCTGGAGGAGCGGAGGAGACCTGTTCCATCTCCATTCTCCGAGTATGGATTGTAGTTATCGTATGTACCTGGTCGCATAAAATGAGTCAAGACGCAGTTGTCGTGATCGAATCATTTTTATGTCTAATTACAGGACCCTCATTTCAACGAGTTACCAAATGTCTGCCAAGAATGTAAGGATAGGAGGAGACGACGCGTAATTACCCTTGAAACCCAGCAAGGAAACATGTTTGCCAGCGATATCGCCCCTGGTGGACGATCATTCAGCTCCTTGCTTGACCATGAGGTGCTTTATTCACAAACAATATCACAAAGAGACGAGTCATGTGGAGACTTCTTACGACTACAGGTGTGGGCCGAGAGAGTTGTAATGGTATATTGGCACTATTTTTTTCCAGCAGAAAATGGCCAATCTGGCATAAATAGCTCGAGTACCCTTCGGCATCTAGTTCCCATAGCATCTAGTTCCTGTATCCATTCATTTCTTTGCATACTATACCTAAGTGGTTCTGTTGGATAGGGTTCCGATATGAATCCATACGTCCTGAGGAAGCCAGAAGCCCCAGTCACACTGTGTGCGAGCACCAAATCGAGAGTAAAAGCAACTCCTTTTCACGTGGAGACCACTGCTGTATCTCCTGACTTGGATGGAGTGCCAACTGTCTCCCTCATTGGCGCCGGGCCCATTGGCTGTTCATTTGCAGCCGATCTCGCCAGTCGGGGCAAAAAGGTTCTACTGTACGGCCATCCTGACCACCCTGGCAATATTGGAATGATCCAAGAGAATGGCGGGTATCTGAAGGCGAGTGATGAGGTACAAGGCAGGTTTAAGATCGAGACTACCAGTGACCTCGGCGTTGCACTGCAATTCTCGTCGTTTATCGTGATTACCGTTCCTGCGCATGGGCATGATACTATTCTAAATGCTTTAAGCCGATACGACCTTCGCGCACACATCCTTATCGCAACACCGGGCAACTTCTTCTTTCTTGCTGCACGAAAACGAGTTGCCGCTCAAGCCCTGCTAGAAACGGCACACCCTCCCTACGCGACCCGTATGGCGGGCGACACCGTGCTGGTGAAGGGGATCAAGGATAACCTGGCGATTTGGGCTGGACCGACTACGATATGCCCTTCCAAGCTCCGACGAGCAGTTGATTCGATCTTTCCACGCCGTCTTGAGTGGTGTCACAACCTTCTTCAGGTGGCCATGGCCAACCTCGGTCCGGTGATCCATCCCGCAACGGCTCTTATGAACACGGGGTGGATCGAGGTCACTAGGGGAGATTTCTATTTCTATGGGCAGGGCATGTCGCGCTCAGTCTCCAAAGTGATCGAGCAAGTAGACCGGGAACGGCTGGCCATCTCCAGAGAGTTTGGGTTCCAACTACCACCGATAATGGCCTCATTAGAGCAGATGTACCAAAAGAGATTTCCGAAATTTCATCAATTCGCCCAAGAGTCCCAAATCCACAATCGAACAAAGGGTGCCCCAGCTGAGATGGGGCATCGTTACGTTAGCGAGGATGTCGTGTACGTGCTGCTTCCATGGTATGAGCTGGGTGTGAAGTGTGGGCTGAGTTCACCTACCATCAAATCGATCATTGAACTGGCATCTGTGGTCAATGGAAGCAACTGTGTCAAGGGGGGGAGGAGCCTGCGCGCAGTAGGGCTCGAGGATGCTTCCAAGGAAGAAATCCTCACGATCTGCCAGGGGTCATTGCGCGACGAGGGAGGTCCTCCAACAGTATTCCGCCCTCTGACGAGCGTTGATGTCAATATTCATCCTGGGAGTGAGCAATTCCCTGTCAAAATGGCAGGCCAAGCAATCAAAGGGTGACACAGGATGTTGCATCCTTTTCTTACAGTTGATAGAACTCTACTTCAAAATCTAGTGTGTACAGCTGCAGCTGTTTGCCATAACCGGCCACTTCCACTAGCTTTTCGGGGATCATTCCATACGTTGGAGAGCATATATGATAGATGGGATTCATTATGTATTATTAGTTAGACTTCTATAGAGTAGCAGCTAAAAAGTTCTTGATTATGCTGCTCGATATTTCAGGCCATCTGGACCAGTTGTTCCGAGTTCGTACCATTACTGACACGATGGTGTCTTGATAGACAGATTCATGAAACGTAATGGTGCTGGTTTCCAACTTGACACAGTATCTAAAATAGGACGCCAACGCAAAGGTCTCTTGATCCACACTTGCCACCTTGTCCTTTGGAGCTACATACAGAGATACGTGAGGCATTGTACACATGACCCGTCTGACTATTTGAAAGCTTTTGGTGAGTCCTAAAGAAGCCCTAGAGAGTTCCACTGATCACCCACAACGGCACACTATCGTCTCGTTACTGACAGCCAAGAGTGGCCGATTTGCCAGAAGCCCGGGTTCTGTATGATAAATCAGGTTATGATTTTCTTTCGTCTCATACGCTGTAGATCCCCGATTGTGAATCACATCATATTCCCTACTCAGGTACGGTGGATAAACGAAGACCCACCAAAAGGATGTGCCTCGAATCTACGACTTGTTCTATTCTAAAATAAGAGTACAAAAGAAATGATAGTCACATATCACCTTTCCAATATCTAATCTCTATTTATAAGACATGTATTTGCCACCTACGGCTCGGCCATTGAAGACCCATAGTTGGTGGCAACGCATTGTGTATATCGTAGGTCCCTCCCTACTTGCTATTTATGAAAGTACGTACAATTTTTCTATCTACGATCTTTATTAGCTTGCGATTGTATACGGGTTATTTCGCACCATCCCTCAAGACACCATCCCACCAAATCTGCTCTCAGACCTCATTCCTTTTTTTGCAGATCAGACAAATCACTACGAGTACCCAATCTCCTTCCAGAGTTCCTCTAATAGAAAGCATTCCCTATACCACTCAAGTCATCTTCACAAAAATGTGTTCAGTATTACTGGGATGCCTGTGGTTCATTCCAGACAGTGAAACCATCCCAATCTCCCTTACTCGGACCAAGGGCATGTATGTAGCTCGGTTATAGCCTCACAGTATCCTTACCTAGTCGACCGTTCTTCTACTCTGCGTAGTAAACATTAAAAGTATATTACATTATTATTCTAATCCACTAAGCTAGGATATGATGTATTAAGCTTAAGTACGGAGGAGTATATGGAGTATAAGCTACTCGAGTACTTCAATGTACCGTGATAACCAGACTAACCCCGACTAGGCAATACTAACCCTAATCCAGTAACCCCATTTATCACCGTCATGTGGAGTCCATATCGTGATTTGATACCAGTAACCAAATCCATCATCTTGAACAAATACTGTATATCCATCATCAACAACAACAACACCTGCAGTTCAACCAACAACCCCCCACCCAAACCACACATCCCCAAAATGTCCTAACCCAAACCCACACCACTACACAACCATGGTCCAACTAATAACAACAACCCGCATCCTCTCCGCTCTCGAAGCGATCCCAACCTCCGATCGCAAAGACCTCAATCTCCCCGACAACCCATCCCTCGACAGTCCCATCACCCACGACCAACTAATCCGTCTATCGCGCTACTTCCGCACCGAAAATGGCATCTCCAACTCCGCCCGAAGCCTCAACTCCCTGCTCCACGGAACAAAAGTCTACGTTCCGCCACCGCCGCCGAAACCCGAACCCGTACGTCTTGTCTTGTTCTCTTCACCCCATTCCAAACACCATACCACAAACCCCAACCACTAGTCCAAACCTCTCTTGTGCAACTAACTAACTAACTAAATGACAACCCCCTCAGAGCCCAGAATACCTCGCCCTAAAAGCGCGTCTCCTCGCCGCCTACGAAACAGACACCTACAACCAAATGACGACCTCGTCAAACACCACAAATGGCCCGTCACCGATCTTCGCTTCCTCGACACCGACTGTCTCGGCACTCCATGAGGACGACACACACTCGGACGCCGATACGCTTACCCCCGGGCTTGTGCTGAATATTTTCCTTTCGGTTGTTATCACCGGGTTCAGTGTTTACTGGGCGTTGGCGAGCTTTTCGACGCCTGAGTTGTTGACGGAGGCGGTTTCGTCGGTTTGGGACCAGAACCAGGGGTCAAGGAGGGGCGGAGGTGTCTCTGAGGCTGTGAAGGTGCTGGTGTCGTTTGGGGCCGCGGTGGGGGTCGGCGTTGCGGAGGTGGCCATCTATGCGATTTACCTGGGGAAGGTGGAGCGGGCGAGGAAGAAGGAGAGAGGGGTGAAAGAGAGGAAGGTGGTGGTTGGAAGGGAGGTTTTGGGTGGCGGGGATGAGAGTGAGAGCGTGCAGCGAGTGGATGGGGAGAAGGAGGAAATTTGGGGGAGAGGGCCTAATGGGGGGTTACGGAGGAGAGTGAGGGAGCGGTGGGAGGAAAAGGGAAAGGAAGGCGATGGGGATTGATTGATTGTAAGTTGCCGGTCCGCCGGTCTTCTGTTAACACTTGAACAGGATGCATATGCATGTTCTTGATACCCCTCAGTCTGGAAGGACTGATTTGTATGATACGTTTTTATCGACCTAAAAAAAAAAAAATGAGATACACCTTGTTGAAACGATTTTACTTCATTTGTTTACTTTTACCTACGTTCACCAACATGGACGGAAAGATGTTTTGGCAAAACATTAATATTGGTATTCATATTCCCTCTATAATAAAACAAAGAAAACAATGCTTAACAGAAATGCTACATCATCGCTCAGTCTATGGCGCTGATATATGCTGTGCTGCTGTCAGGTCGTTAGTGATCATCAGTAGCGTGGATATCTATGGTCATCAGGTATCTTTTGTGGTTTTTAGTTGTCGTCGGAAATGTGCGGGCGGCTGCGCCTTGGTCAACAGCCCGATCGAAGTACGGGAGCACAAATGAAAAGGATCAAACCCGTTTCTCTAACAGCAATGTGCCGGCCGGAGTCTTGCTGCTGAAGCCGCCGTCTCGGCTGAAGATCTTCTCGCCACGCAGCCACGTCTCACGGACCATGCCGCGCAGGGTGCGACCCTGGTACGGCGAGCACTTGTTCCGGAAGAGCATGGTGCTAGGCTCCACGACCCACTCGGCCGAGTCGTCGAAGACACAGATGTCGGCGTCAAACCCGGGGACGAGGTCACCCTTCTGGCGCTCGAGGCCAACCTGTGCCGCGGTGTTGGCACAGCACAGGCGCACAATGTCTTGGAGAGCCCGCTTGGTGTTGGTATCCTCCGGCGCAGAGGTGAGACCCTTCCGGCGGCTGAGCTCCGTCCACAGGATCGGAAGACCCAGGCCGACAGAAGAGATACCGCCCCAGGCCGAGTTGAAGCTACCTTGGTTCTTTTCAATAGCGGCATCGCCCTTAGCGGTGCAGCTGCCCGGGATATGGGAGGGAAGGAGCTTCAGATCCGGGGTGCACGGGGAGTGGTCCGAGACGACGGTCTTGATGACACCATCCTCGGCGTGGCGCTCCAATTCGGCCCAGAGGGCATCCTGGTTGAGCTGTGAGCGAATCGGTGGGCAGCACTTGTGGCGGGTATCACCGTCCCGGATTTCCTCGGCGGCCAGGGATAGATAGTGGAAACAAGTCTCTGCAGTGATGGAGATCCCATCTGCGCGGGCTTTCTTTAGGAGCGGAATAGCCTCCATGGCCGAGAGGTGGACAATATGCAACGCAAGCTTGGGAGCCAGGTGGGCCAAGGAGAGGATCTCTTCTACAGCGCAGGTCTCATATGCGGAGGGACGAGATGCCAGGAAAGTGGAGTATGCTTCCGCGGGGCCTTCAGGGGTCTGGGGTTGGTCCGCCTGGGAGGATGTGTTGGGGGGTACCATTTCCGCATGGAACATGAGGGTGGTGGGCTCATCGGCCAGTTCCGCCATGGCCTTACGGATGTCTTCAGAGGAGACGGCGGGGAATTCGTCAACCTACAACGGTAAGCACGGAAACTTGCTGAGGGAGCGCTGGTATACTTACCCCACTGTCGATGAGGAACCCCTTGAAGCCACGGACACCCTGGTTAACGAGGGCCTTCAGTTCACCAGCGTTGCCGGGGATGATGCCGCCATAGAAGCCGACATCTACCCAGCACTTGCCTTGGGCAGCATTGAGCTTCTCCTTGAAGCCTGCCACGGTGGTGGTGGGTGGGATGGCGTTCAAAGGCATGTCAATGACGGTGGTGACACCGCCAAAGGCAGCAGCCTGGGTGCCGGTGTAAAAGCCCTCCCATTCGGTGCGGCCAGGCTCGTTCAGGTGAACATGGGCATCAACTAAGCCGGGAAGCAGGACATGAGGCGAATAGTCGGTATAGGGAGTCCCCTCAGGGAAGTCAGAGGCCGGAATGACGGAGTCGAAGACCGCCGTGATCTTGCCAGAGGTGCGAGAGATAACGATCGTGGCTGACGTTAGACGACCCGAGATGACCGCCCGAGACGACGTCACCACAGCGATCGAGGGTATTTGTTGCGTCTCCATGGTCAAGGAAGGTTATCGATAGGCGGAGAGAAGAAGAGATAAGGGCACAAAGAGAGGAAGAGGAGGAAGAAGAAGAAGAGAAAACGGGGGAGAGGAGGAGGTCAAGGAGGGGCCCAAAGAGGGTGATGACAGTGAGTGGACGAAGAGATAAGGACGAGTTCAATGAGCTGATAAGAAACGAAGTTTCAGAAGGGTTTGGGAGGCAAGGGATTCTTCTCTGGGAAGTTCTTGAGGGTGGGCTGATAAGGACGAAACTCTCACAATGAAGAAAAGCGATATGGGAGGGCAGGCACGATATCGCAATCCGGGGTACCGATAAGGGTTTTATAACCATGTCCCCAGCATCTCCATCATCCGTGGGAGCCTTAGTGCCTTGTCTTTTTTCACTCCCCGAACTTTGGCCACATTTTCTCCCCTAACGATAACAGTACTGATCGAGTAATCGGAAAAGGGAAAAAAAAAAAAAGAAAAAGAAAAAAGTATAAAAGGGGGATCCACTTTCCAAACAAACGGATCCACCGGTGCCACCGGAACAGTATCAGAGATTCGTCTTACTCGATTGAAATACCGATAAGCCTTTCTGACTGTGTCGGTGTATTCACGGTCTCTCACCCCAAACCTGATCCAGCCATCAGCCGACCTGTTCGCCCTCATCGTAGGGAGATTCATGAGCAGAGGGAAGTTAGAAGGATCCATGTGACCCTCGATACCCTCACCATTACCGATTCGGGTATTGGGAAAAGTTGTTTTGGTGGCCTCGTAAAACCCTGAGTGGCCTGAGTGCTGGCCAGTCTGGCTGCTCCCCCTCAACCGTGGTTTTGCATCGGGCGCCTCCGGCATCCGCCATCGGCTCACGCCCTGCAATTGCTTTTAGTACCTGTCGTTACTCGATCAAAATTGGTCACATTTCCCCTTCAGGAATTTCCTTTACTCGATAGCTTCATGTAGTTGGACACAGGACCTCGGAGTCAGATGTACAACGCAGTGTGCGAAAAATCGTTATGCAGGCACTCCGCATGCGCGTGAATGTTTCCAAGCTCTGGGCCATTCGGCTAAACATGCCCGTTGTTGGACCGGAGGGCCCCGTTGGATTCCCGTCTCTCGATTTTTTATTAATTTTTTTTTTCATATTCTTTCGTTTGTGACGATGAGGGGAGGCACGATCTTGAGATTCGTTCCCCCTCACGAAGAGTAGATACTCGTAGATCCCAGGGAGATCCTGGGCCACAACACATCAGGGGGAAAACTCAAGAAATAACCGGGGGTTTCCCTGTAACACTTCCGAGTGTCACAACGCCACCCAGCTAAGCCTTCTTTTGCTTCAGGACACCCAACCGAGGAAAGTCCGTACCTGTGGTCGGACCACGCCACAGTGTCAACGCCGCTTCGACGTAAATGCTCTACAATATCGAACCTGCATCCACGATGATGATGCTACCATGATCCGCAACGGCGAGGAGATGTGCAAATAAACCTGTCAATTGACTTTCGAGTATCCACTTTTTGGACGAATCGAAGTTCTGATCGTATACTCCCAGACAGGGATGGACGATACGTTAGTCCCTGTCAAACCAAGAAGAAGCAAAAATAAGCAACCCATCGAGGCGACTAGAATCTGGTTCTTCGATCTGACATCAATGCCTGATTCAGCCTCGATGCCTAACTATCAGTAAACCAGAAATGAATTCCCATCGCCAGGAGACCGTCGGGCATGACTTTCCCCAACCAGTTTCAGTTTCACATATCGCTTGTAATATCCATATTTTAGTCTTCCATATAAGCTTGGTTCTGGCGTCATCTCGTCAACTGTCTATCTGAAAAGCGACACACAAGTGTAGTCGGAAAAGGGGATCATGAAAATGCACATCCTCAACAAGGAAGCGATACGTCCAACATCGATCTCTCCTCCCCCTAAACAAGGGAGAGGAAAGATGTACAAACCAGGTTACGGTCGCCCATGACCTTCCTCTCCGGGTTTGCGCCCGGTAACCTCTGACGTACCATATCAGCCCTACATAGATAGCCCTGTTTTCCCCATCATAGACAACGATCTCAATTTCCCTGTCTCCATGACACAATATCATACATACATACTCCAGCCCGCAATCAAGATTCGCCATTCATCATCCCCAGCAGAACACCCATCGCATCCCCCTCTCTGCCCGCCGGAACAAAAACATGGTCGTGGAAAAACCCACTCACAACGTTCGTGCTGATGCCATGCGCCGCCAAGGTCGTCGATATCGTTGCGATCAGGCCCACGGCTTCGAGGCTGGAATGCACCTTGAGGGAGATCTTGCGACAGGGGAAGGTGTAGTTGTTGTAATTGTGGGCTTCGGCGATGGCCTGGGTGGTGATTAGGGTCAGGCCTCGGATTCTTGGAAGACCATTTGGGGTTGGAGCGTGTGGAGGGGGAGGGAATGGAGGGGTGTGGTGGTCGTGAGAAAGACGTAGGTGTCGGGGTCGAGGACTGGGTCCATTGTTGAGAGGAGGATGGGGATGTTAGTTTCGCCTTGCGCCATTTTGGATGGTTTTGGAGAGCTTTTGTTATTTAGGGTGGGTTTGGTCTGGCTTGATGGTGTTCTTGGTGCTAACGGTGATTGTATCTCTGAGGTGGGGGCGTTGGTTAACTGGATTACATTAGTCCTGAGTGAAAATGGGAAATGCTTAGAGTCTAGACTCGAGGAATGCCGCTAATTACTAGTGTGCATGGGGAGGGAATTAATCGATGATCTTTCAGGAACGCGTTATCGATGTTAAATCGAACTTCTGTTCAAGCGACACTGAAGCGAGTCGATAGTGCCATGTGGACACAACTGACCTTGCATAAATTGATTGGGATAAACATCTTTCTGTACTTTCCGGAGGTCCCTAACTACAACTTGATCGCTACCTAATGCTTGGGGCTGTAAAGAAGCTGGAGCTCAAGTCTCGCCAGCATATCCATCCTAATCCCAGCCAGTAACTTTGCATAAATCCCAGAACCATCGATCAACGCAAACCAGCTCTTACAACGGCCAGAGACTAGACGAAACTTATGCATTGCTTTCATTCGAGCTCAAAGCCTCCGAGTCGCTGTCATCCATCTCCTTCAGCTCCAGCTGAGCCTCGTACATGGTCGGATCCGCATGTGCCCGATTCAGCCACTCAAGCATATGCTTCCAAGCGCGGGGCATGATGCACTCCACATGCTGCTGCTCCCCAGACGAGTAGCAGTTACAGCCATGCCGACGGGCACCCGGGACCGGACAACCCTGCGGCTCGTCAGAGATCACATAGGCACGACAGCGGGAGGAGATGAAGGCAAGGAATGAGCCCGAGATCTCATCAGTGACTGCCAGTTCAAGGTCAACGGAGTGCAGGGGGTTAGTCAGAACAATAGCAGAGATATATCCGCGCCAGTCCTCCCCTGTGTTGAATTGTGTCATTGTATTAGCCGTGGGACAGACGGATGTTCACTCTGAATACAATACAGTAGTACTTACAGTTCAGAGATAAGTGGCGGATTGCGCCCTGGCCCCCTTCAGCGATTCCGACGATGTTAATTTTCACATCGTGGCGCACCAAGCGTCCGCGGTCAGCTAGGATTTCATCAAAGACGCAAGCGACGTGATCTTCCCAGCAGCCGTTGGAAGGGATCTTGTTTCTGTGGGTCATCATCAGGGGAGGGTCGACGGCGGAGGGACGAGGATAAGCGAGCCAGGACGGCAGGGTCATTGGGCGACGAGCACCGCAATGCCAAATTAATTGGCCGGTGTTGGCCAGCACCAGAGCAGTGTCGCCGCATTTGGAGAAGGACTCAGTGTTGGTTCCCTCTCCGTTGGTTTCGGGGTGAAGGACAGCTTTGGCAAACGAGACAGCGGAGCCTGCGTTGATGCCATCCACACCTATGCTTCGATACGCCCAGATCCCAAGGTCCTGTACTGGCTCCCCAAAGACGACAATGATTCGAGATGCCGTCGATAGGTTAGATGACACCAGAATCGGAACATGGGCTTCGTTCACTTTAGAGGTGAGAGGGAGACGCAGGACTGTAAGGTTGAGCTCCCGCAGGCGAGAGGCCACGATCTTGCGGATGCACTCTGGAGTGTTTACTAGTGTTAGACATCTCAAGTTATGAGGTCTTTTGGGAGAAATGCGTATCTCGTCTTAAAAGGACGTACCACTCATCGCCTCTCTCTGCATGTCATTAACACGGGCATTTTTGTTGATCTTATATTGAAAATCCTCCTTGGGGTCCGCGATCTTTCTGATCTGGTCGTTCTCGTTGATGAAGTATCTTGTTATCATTCCTCGTTTAGTATTTAGTCTTGACTGTAGAGGAAACGTCGAGTTCATACCCTAACTTCTCAAGGTCCGCAGGAAACTCATGCTCGGGCGGCAGGTCTTCACGACGATAGACAAACATCTTGTGGGTTTATTGTTCTTTCAATTGTGAGGAAAGACAAGGAGGCACAGGACCAATGTGACAATTAAAGAAGAATAATGAGGCTGTTGCACCGAGAGTAAAGATGCCAGAGTTGATTAGTCGTCGTGAATATGCAGACGCATGAAACGAAGTGAATCAATACTGATTGAATAAATCCATCCAAACGGATATCCAGGGTTGACGATGAACACTTGGTCACAGACTTGTACTACATATCATAAGATATAGCTTCTTTGTATGCATGTCAGACCTTTGTCTTTATTTCTTAGGTATAAGATATCACTATCAAAAACATCCTTGAGCTGCAATATGAACATCGCAGTCGAAATTCTGGTAGTCGATGTACGGAATGGAGACCGCTGCTCAAGCTTAGGCTTATATACAGCAATAGAATTGTGACAATATATCAAAGAGTGTCAAGAGCAGGTTGGGATAAGGTCTTAGCCAAGTCAGTCAGGTTAATTCAGGGTTCTTCAAGGTACATACACTGGTACTGTGGAGGCATACTGATGACAACTAGACAAACATTCATTCACCTTTCAACTGAGTCCTTCTTCACGGGACTATTGCATGGAGAAAAAGAACCAGGAGCGACAAGTATATTCGCCAATTAATATATACTAGGATAAAAGTAGGCTCCCGGAGAGTGTTAGCTTTGTCTGTGTACAGTTTTATACAGCAACTATTTATGAATGACAGAGTCATGATCAATGACTTGCTGGAAAACAGATGGATTCCACCAACTATCAGGGTACTCATCCATTTTTGGAAGACTTAGCAGACGGTATCGAATGCCCGATATAAACGAAAAAATCGTAAATCAGCGGAGAAAATCCAGCACATATCGTCTATTGAAACCCAGCAGTTGATATATTGTACATCTTTCTCGAAAAAAAAGTATGGAATTAAACGCCCTCATGCAAACCAGCTGACCCAGTAGCCATGAACATAATAAAACAATCCGCAATATATGGACACACTACCAACTGGCCTTCTTCACACCGGGTAGTTCACCAGCCAGTGCCTGTTGACGGAATTGGTACTAAACACGATGTCAGTCAACGCCTGCCACCCCACGAAAAGAGCTAAGATAAATTCACTTACTCTAGCAATTCTGAAGTCGCGAATCACACTTCGAGCAATACCACCTGCCACACAGCGGTTCTTGATCTGGGTGGGCCGGGTGTAGGCGTGCATCTGGGAAAGCTGCAATTGAGCCTGGGCACGGGTACGCTGCGGGAGGGAGGTGTTGCGGATGATGTAGCGGAGAGCTTGGCTATATGATAAAAATCAATTAATGAGAGATAGTTCCCCAGAATCCTTGTCAGGGTGGAATGCGACAAGGTCAAAAAAGTCGACTTAGCATACCGTTCAGGCTCGTGCTGCTCGAAAACCTTCCGCTTGGTGTGGTCACGGATGACACGGGCGTTGATGAACCCGCTGAGGTCCAGGCGCTTGGATCTGAAGAGCGACATGGTGTATTTTCTCGTAACTGGTGAACTGCGATGGTCTGGATGTCGGCACTTGATATCTTTTGATGGCGGTTGTGATCGGAGTTCTGGGGTCACGGGAAAATACGCTTTCCTAGTTCGGATTAGTGTTCATCTGCCATACGTGACGGCTATCGATCCCCATCCGTCCGGTCTTTTTGATAGGGAGCTGTACCTCTGGATGACCCTCGTGCAAGTGATCATTGTTTACATGAGTTGATATGACGATAGTAATGTACACAGCCTACACCAACTTTACTGGGGCTTCGTAATAAACTCGGCAAAATGGACAAGATCGCGCTGTCAACATTAAAGATTCTTCTGCAACCGCATGATCAGCCTTGCTTGAGTAGGCCACTGAGATGCAGCTTAATTTTATCGAGCCGGTGGATTGAGTGACTCTATAGAAAAGCCCCGTAGGGATGGAACAGATTATCCATACTGTGAGACTGGATCATGCATGACTAGACTTGAGCTCTAGATCATTGCATGCATACTACAAGCGACTTTTTGAAGCTAACAGGCCAAGAGAATTGAAGAGCATTTGGCAGCGAAAGGCAGTTCACATAGAATAGCATGGAAGCAACAACGGCGTGTGATAACTGCTAGCTACTGCTGACTTCACAGCCAAATTACGCGAAGGGATATCATTCAAGACAAAGAGACCAGGTGAATCCTGTACCGAAAAAGACGGCCGTAGCAGTAGTGGTACAACTTGTCAATTCGTCAAAATCTTATGACGGTATAGTCTATATGCCTGTACAGAATAACTGTTCGCGAACCGAAACTTTGGCGAAACAGCAATCCGGGTAATCAGCCACCCTCCATATTCCTCTTTCACCCCGTCATGTCGACATTCTCAGATTAACAGAGATTAATTTAATGCTTGTTGTTCTTGAGGTTGGGGTTGCGGGGGTCGTTCTTGAACTCCTCGGCTGCAGAAGGGAACCGAGGTTAGCTATAATCGAGACATTGCGAGAATTGCTCGCATTGAAGCGACAAGCCAGCTCCTGAGGGGCAGGGCATATCATAAAGTCGGAGAATGGAGCGACTCACTGTTCATGAGGAGGTTGCCGAAGGAGTTGACGCCGTAGAGGATGACAACGCCTAGAAACAGTCCCGTCAGTATCCGAGATCTAGTACCCTGTGCACTTGTCCAAACACGTATCCCATAGTTGAAGCCAGATAGAATAGACGTATTCGAAGAGGGAATTCAAGGATGGCGGTGCATACCGGCAGCGAAGAAGGGGCCCAGAGGCTTGGCTATAACGAGGTAGGTCAGTCAGCTTTCAACCTGGTTTAATCCAACAAAAATATCCGACCCGCGCGGTGTCTTACCGATAGGGGTGGGGAACTTCTTTCCGAGGAGAGACATGGTGACAAGTTGTGTATTGCACGGGAATGTCTTAAGAGGTGAGAGGTGAGAGGTGAGTTGATGTAGGCGGAATACGGTGCGACGAGGAGGAGCGGGAACAACGAGTTTTGCCCGGAGGTCCGACTCCCGGCCGCTTTTACCATAGCCGCACGGACCCATCGCCGCTTTTATCGCTCCGTTAGCCCCTCCTGTAAACAAATGCAGCAGTTATCATCCAACTCCAACTTCAAACTTCATACGTATAGTCAGAAACGTTGCTCTCTCATATCACCATGGCGGCGTCACTAAATGCTTCAGTCTCATCGCTCCAATCATCACTTCTACTCCTCGACTCATCCATCTCCACTCTTGAGTCTGGTGTTAGCGACTTCCCCCGACTGTGTAAGGTCTTGCAAACAACCCGAGTAAGTGCCGGAAACGTACCTTTCGGAAACCGGCCAAGCTACTGATAAAATCCGACCACAGCACTTTGAGCTTCTCCCCGAGCCTACGCTCCGTGAAGCACAGCAATCATTACTTGATGAAATCACCCCCAGCATCGGACACTTGCTGTCATTAGCGTCAAACCACGTGGAAAAGCTCTCTCGCCGCGAACAAGCTCTCCGGGCAAAAGCTGAACTACAGGAAGGCAGAATGTACTCCAGCGAGAGCCGCCAAACCTCAAGCCGTAGCCAGAATGCCCATGGTGATCGACAAAAGGCTAATGCTGCGAAGGCGGCAGAGTTCAGGCGATTAGTGCAGAAGAAGGAACGGCTGAAGTATGCCGTGGAAAGACTGGAGTTACAGAGTAAACAGCGCGAGCGCCAGCTGAGAAAGAGCATGGCCGCCCAATAAGTCTGCTGCACCCACGGGGTGAAAGGAAGAGCAACAGCGCAGGATTGTTGCCACTACGTCATCCTTGGTATACAAAACACCTGCCATTATATGCGGTGAAACGACCTGAGCTCAACGAACCGAGCTCCGAGGAAGTAGGTCGCTGCCATCGCGGAGCAGCATTAAGACTGTATCTTCGATACGTCTACTCTTTGCATTAGTACCCACGGTGCATGGTGTTCCTTATGCGCTACTAATGTATAAAGCCAAAGAGTAGTGATGCGAAAATAAAGTCTATCGGCCATGTCGCCATGCGCCAGCAGACGACAGGTCTCTCATGGCGGGCATCTTCAGACCATTGACATTTTCCCGTGAATCTCCGGTCACAATTGTATCCAGTACAGCCTATGGAATATGTGGAGTTGCTGGTGTTACATGTGAGAGGAATATTGGTCACATTGAAATTGAGTGAAGAGCTCAATAAGCCTTACAGTTGTAGTCTAATTACATATATCCGTCATTTATGATACATTTATAATACATCTCTCAGAAATTGAAGCCCGGGCGCCTGTACCGAGATATGAACCATCCATGCGCCGTAGCCCTATGCCTTGTGTTCCCCGCCAGCCGATGAACTATGCCAAACGAAGCTCTCAAACCAAAAAGTCATCCTGCGCTACTTTCGCAGCGGCATGCTTCTTCGAAGCCTGTCTCACCTTCTTCTTGTCCGCATGCTTTTTCCAACTGGGAATTGTTTGACCCTTCTTTCTTTGCGGGATTAGCACTTCGGGCCAATCAGAACCCTCGGCCTGCTGCTCAAGTTCACCCTCCTCGGCTAATTCAGCCCTGAAAGCTGCCCGCCTGGCCAAACGTTCTTTCTTGCCTTCGCCGTGCTTATCACCGATTCTCAAGCTTCTTGGGATGCGGGTCTTCGCACCAAGAGCCCACAGATCTCCCCAACTTGACTTGCGAGCATCTTTGTATGCCCGACGACTATAGGAGCGGGGAACAGTCCAGCGCTCAATCTTTCCAGCGGGCGTACAGAAATCAAAGATAACATGTCCGCGGCGTTTCATTGGAGGATACACAATACGAGGAAGAGACAAGGTGTGGAAGTTCTCGGGCTTGGCCTGTTCGCTTACCTCAGCCTGGGAGCCACCAGCTTCGTTTGATGCTTCCATCTCTTCTACAGCTGTTTCATGTAGATCTTCGTAGCCAGCAAAGGCCGCTTCGGTAGCCTCGGGGCCTTGTATGATACCCTTCGTCTCACGTAAGTCCACGCCACGCCGTACAGCGATATAACTAAACTTCACGTCTTCGTGGTTCCGATCCTTGGCTCCTAAGATGCGCTGGAGGAATGACGGTCTGATATATCTCTGCTGGAAATGGCAATAATCTTTGCGACCCTTGGAATGGCCAGGGACGCTGAACATAGGGCATTTCTCATGGTTAGTGCAGGGCGCGACGATCATTCCGGGCTCCTTCTCGATATGTGAATCCTCAATTGGCGACTCAGTGAAGTTGGTATATTCTGTAGAGCCAGGACTTGAGATGAGACGCTTCAGGAGCATCTCACGAGCTCCAGCAATTGCTTCGAATCCTTTCTGGTGTCCCTTCTCGAGAAGGATCAGAACACCGCCGTCAGGGTTGAGGAGATTCCACAGGTTCTCCACGTGCTCTTTGCGTAAGAATTCCTCCTCTATGCCGAGCAAGCTATGGGGAGCGACGATGATGTCATATTGCTTTCGCTTTGGAGGAGCTCTCTCATCATCTAGAGTTGGTTTCTCGCGGATGTGAACGTAGTCCGGCAGGCGTGGTAGGAATGAAGTATTCTCCAACATTAAACTTGCGCGCATTCGAAGGGCATCCGAACCAGTGACGACAGTCGATCTACCCACAGGATAAGGACTTTTCTTCGGGTGGTCTGGGACCATAGTCTCCCACTCTGCGCGAATGACATCTCGCCAGGCAAGGACGCCTGCACCGCCACCACTAGCATCAAGGATATGCGGGCCATCTTCTTTCGAGATGAGCCCACGCAGCCACTCTGTGCCCAACCGCTTTCGGACCTCGACCAGAGTACTTAGTATAGAGGTATACATTCCGGGGTACAGAGCCGCAATATATGCATTCGCCTCCATTTCCGTCATGTGCCGCTGGGAAGCTTCTAGTGGAATAGGAAGCTGAGGCATCTGTGCGCGTGGTGGAGGAGTGGTAGTAGAATAAGGCAGACGCGGGCCGCCAAAGGTGCGATGGGTAACATCTGCGATATGTTTATTGGCGTAGTCGGATAAAATGATGGAAATGGGACTAGTTACTGTATCCTTAGGCAAGAAAACAGTGCTGGGATCAGTAGAGAACTTCCCCTCCACAGTGAGAGGATGTAGTCGAGGTGTGTCATCCGGGTTTGCTTCTTCTTCGAACTGCTCCAGCATGATTTCTCCGCCGAGCTGTTCTGCCACTTCCCTTGTCCGTTGCATGGCGATAGATTCATCCTCAGCCGGGCCAGCCTCCATATCATAGACCACAGGTGGTTCATCCTCTAAGTCAGCCTGCTCTACATCGACTGCTTCCCACCCTCCCTGGCCATCCTCACGGTATAATAAAACATCGGGGTCCTTCTCATCTTCCTCCGCTTCAAGCTCCAACTCCTCCTGCCGAATGATTGGCTCGCCATACAACTGGGTATACAACTGCAACTCGGTATTGTTCAGATATCCATCAGGCAGAGTGTCCCCGAACATTTGCCTCGCCTCCTGCACGCGCGCTTCTAAAGTCTCCTGGTCCCGATGGCCGATCGTCTCGCTAAACGCATGATCAAGCTCTGGACCATCAAGGTTGAGAGCTTCCCAATAGTCATCCAATAGGCTCAGCTCATCCATAAGCTCGGCCATTTCCATCTCATTCTGTTCAATCCTATCAATCACATCGTAGACAGCGTCCTTCCGATCCGTATTGACGTTGCCATCTGCAGGGGGCACCGTAGACGCATATCGCCGACCATCTTTCAGTCCGATTGGATAACCAGTAGCAGTTTTTCGGGGGAATCCGACCGGTGAATTAAGGGGAAACTCGTATCTTGCGTTTGTGCATCTGTACCGCTGCGCTATGAAACTGGTAGCTCCGCCGCGGAGCTGTTGCGAACAGATCTGCGACGACTTCGATGCAATGGTGCGCAGAAGGCCGTGGGAGCAAGACCGGCTCGCCCTTGATGCTGGAGATCTTGACAGCATCATCAACCCTTCTTACCACCCTGAAAGCGATAATCTGCGGTCTGAGTCTGGGGATGAAAGAAAAAACGCCACTCGTGAGAGCTCGGCCAGGAAAATCTTTGCCAAGAAATGCGACCATCGGAAATTCCGTTCTTCCTATTGGCAGGTAGAAGTAGATAGTCAGATTATGTAATAATTCAAGTATGGGCATTATCTCGACAACATGAGATTGAATATAGAAGTATTAAGTGACATGTTAATGTATCTGAATGATATAGAACAGCATGTACAATTTAGGGCCTTTCAAAACTACTCCTCGCTATCGGTATCTTCATTGCCCATAAGCACTTTCAGCGCAGAGATCCATTTCATCACTTCGTGTTGCAGAGCAGTCAACTTCGCCATGACTGCCATCAGGCTCGGGTCCTGACTTTCCACGCGAATCTTTTCCCTTACTTTGACCTCGTCTCCCTTCCATGTGAAAACATCTCCGGCCTCATCATGTCCACGGTGTCGAGTTCCAAACAAACGGTCTCGCAGATTGAACCCAGTCAGAGAAATGTCGGTGGCAAAAGCCGTTGGAGTATGTGTGGGTGTGCTGGACTCGAGCGTCCTTAGATATAAAACGAGGGCTGAATCGGCGATGGAGAGATGGAACGAAAGGTTTAGCGGCAACGGTGGGTCAAACATCTTCGCAGTCATAAGTTAGTCACGAGGAAAGAAAACTACAGAACGATGCGCCGAACATACATCCTCAAGCGCACTTGTCTCCCACCACTTGCCCCTGACCTGATCACTCTCGCCCTTCAACATCTGCCGAGCCTCGGACAGAGTTTCATATAATAGACGCAGCTGCCCATATATGAAACTTGCATTGAGTGGGTCGCCAGTCCAAGTGCTGACGTCCACCACATCGAGACTCTGGTTGACCAAATTCCTCACGGAAACCAACTGATGCAGCACAAGCTCTGGCGCACTGGGCGAGTTCGACAAACATAAGCGAGTTGTTGGGGAGCCACGCGCAGGAGCAAGGGAGCCAAGGCGTAGTTGAATATCCTAGCGCACGACGATACTTGGTCAGTCCAATCGGTTCGTTCAAGAATAGGAGAAAGCAAGCGCGGATAACATACGCCTTTCACGATTTCGGTTCCGACCCTTGTTACGAATCCTTTGACGATTTCGGATCGTACAGAGGACATAACCAATGTTGAGCCTGGCTCTTTAGGGGCAAGAAGCGCAGCGCATTCATGCAAGCCTTCCCTTAGGGAGACTAGCGAGTCCTGCAGGGAACGCAGTAACCATTCTAATTCCCTGGCCTGTATCGGTGCCAAAAGTCAACAACAGAGGTATACTATACATGCGATACTTTAATTTGTGTAAAAATCCAAAGGAATCTCGTATGCATCTGGGGAGAAGTATACCAATGCACTATCAGCTTCCGGTTCCAGCTGCTGCGGAGGTAGTGGTGGGTATACCCAAGTAGCCATTTTGGCGAACTGGGTCCACTAGATTGGGAGCCGTGCTATCTGTTCTAGGGATAGAATTTCTGTTACTATCCTAGAGCTTAGTGAAAGGTAGAATAATGACAGAGAAGGCTGTTCAGTTAGATGGTTGCTATTGCGCTCTTGCGACAGCGCTCGTGACGTTTGTAGGCGGATGAAAACGTACTAGCGCAGATCTAATCTATCGCCTGTATAATTACGTAATTTATGCTAATATGCGTTAAATCTATACAGTTACCCCATGGCTACGAATAGTTCTGTCTGATACTATAGCGGATCTTTCGTATGTTGTAGAAAAGACTGGTAGAAGTGGCCAGGGCAACACTTTTACCTTGTGAGTCCTTAATAAAAGTCGTACCTGATGGTTATGGAGTATGTATACTATAGCCTATCGATAACGATTTCTTCGGCGGAGAGGAAAATATATATACGTAGTAGTAATACTACTATTTGCAGTGCTTTCCCCTTTCCTCGTAGGTTCCATCATGCAAATATTTACATATATCATAATACCAACCATTTATACACTAAGAATTTATGGATTGCTATTTGTTTTCGAAATTGTCTTGAGCCTTCTTCCACAGCCAGCGGAGTCATACTGACGAATCCTGCGATGTCCGGGGGCGAATAGAATAAGAGAGAAAGAAAATTAATTATTTCTCATTTACTAAATCATAAATTGTGGCTTCGGGAGTGACTTGACAAGCATCAGAGATCCATTTACATACATTATCAATGTGCTTGATTTGCTATAATCTTTCCTAAGTTCTTTAAAATAAAACTGATATCGCTCAGGTTTCACCGCAATAAGAATATTGCTTCCGCTCCACTCATACATACTCTCCATACAACTTCCACGATCGTGAATTATGATGTTTTCCAGATAGCATTACCGTTTATTCTATTTAGGAGCTGATCTATGACTGATCTAGATTGTTCATAGTAAGGATAATAGTATTTTCTCTAATTAGTAATCCTGTAAGCACAACTTTTCATAATCTGAATGCTCCATCAGAGTTCTGCGAGGTCCATTGTTATATAACAGACTTTTGATATAATAATTTCAACCTCTGCCTTTATCATAGAACTACGATTTCAGCAAGGGGTTGTTCGCTTATCCAAATTACTGGCTGCGGGTCGATCATATTGGGAAGTAACACTGGGACTGCTGGCAGCAACTGGAAACATAGGACGAAGACTGTACCTAGCCTGAGCACATTGAGGCGCTGCTATATCACTGTTAGGTATACCGTATGAGCCTGACCCGAATAGCTCAGTCCAGAGAGTTGATGAATTCGTGGAAGACAAAGAAACAAAAATTGAAAGATTGGTATCCAAACGTAGCCAGTTTAAGCTTCGATGACAATTTTCATGCATACTCCTGCGTTACTATAGCATTTATACCTCGATTCCCATTTTTTGGGACAACGAGGAAATGGTCCCTGTATGGCTCGACATCATCGAGTGTAGTGTCAACCAGTCTCAGATCAAATCGACGCAACAAGGTAGCGAGTGTAAGGAATAGTTCTGCGTAGGCAAGGCTAATATATAGCATGGTTAGCTTCTCCTCGATTACGAGTAATTCTAGACTAGAGAAGAGGGAAGGGAAGAGGGGGAGTGCACGTACCTTATGCCTATACATTGGCGGCTTCCTCTAGAAAATGATACAAGCATTGACTCCAGAGTTCTTCTTTCTTCAGCTGTACCCAGCCATCTTTCTGGGTTGAAGGTGTGCGGGTCCGGGTAATGCTGAGGATCCATATTGACAAAATATGTTGATTGACTCACTGGTGTCTGACATAGTGTTAGATATGGCCACTATACGGACATCGCACCGCACTTACACCTGGAGGTATAATGTGTCCTTTATAGTTCAATGCTTCGAAAGGGGCAACTCGTGGCAAGCGCGTGAGCACACCAAAGGAGAGCCGAAGGCCTTCGTGTATTACTGCCCGCTTCATGGAATCAGTAAACAAACTATCTGTGAAAGTAATATGGAAAAGGAAAAAAGAAGAAGAAAGGGAGGCGAATTCCTATACCAGTAGTGGCAGAGTCTCGAGCTCGAATAGATCAGGAACATGATTTGGCTTCGGCATCACAAGCTTGAGTTCTTCATGAAGCCGGAGGAGAAATTTCTTGTTACTCAATAAATAAAACAGAGTCACACTTAGTGTCCAGCTTGTTGTTTCAGTTCCTGCCGCAAGAAGGACATACCCCTCATCCTGCAGCCGATCCAATGTTCGCTCCTCCGGGGGCAGGCTTTGGTCAATCAAAGAGGTGAAGACTGTATTTGGTAACGACATAGACTGCTTAGCAGACATTGCTACATTTGCCTGTTGTCCTAATAACTCCTGTACTTTGATCACCCTGGCTGCTGGTGGGAAGATCTTCTCCATCACGTTTGAAGGAATGCACCTTATCCTGGGCATGCCGAAGGGGATGAATCTGAAAAAGTGACTGAACGATCCAAGCGCTTGTGCTGTCTCTTTTAGCTCATTGTGTTCGATATTCTTCAAGAAACAGTAATCTTTACTGTATGCATAATTTGAGATAATATCCCCAGTTAATGCTGAGAAGGCTATAGAGAGATTTATGACACTTTGCTCCCTGTGGGCCTTTCCAAAATGTTGAATTAAGGTGTCAATTTTCCCCTGAATAAGTGGCTGCATTTTGGAAACCGAGCGTTTAGAGAAGTATTTGCTCAATATCTTACGACGGAACTGATGATGATTGTGATCAACCGTCGAAGCCATTGAATCCGGTGCACAGAATAAACGAACGAAAGACGAAGACTTTTCTCTCACACTGGAACCACCAGTATATATCTCATTGTAAAAGGATGAGTCTTTTATATGCACCTCGTCTGGCGTGATACGTACAATCGGCCCTTTTCATTTGTCAGTCTCTCGCAGACCTTCAAAATCTCATAGGTCTAGCATGAAGCCAATCCTTGATACCGTATTTGTCATGTAACCTGCCAAGTTCCCAAATGAATTGACCATCTTTAATCACTGTATAGTAAAACTCATATAGGCTTGTGATGGCTGCAAGCTTCGGACCGGGAAAGGAGCGAAGAGGGTGGAAGTACAGGCGATAACATGCCGTCCCAAGTATGTAAATGACAATAGCCACAATAGACAAGAACATAATGATATAGTCGGTTATCGTTCGATCTTGGATCTAGACTATAAGAAGCTCCAGGGTCCAACATGGAAAGCTGTCCAAATTGCTTCTTAAATATAGACTTTCTTCCTCGGGATATACTTTGAAAAGTAGTGTATTTGAACAGAACCAAGATAGATTTGGATTAAAACAAGGAATGTTAAGTCTAAACTTTTGCTTCTCCTTCCCTTTTCGCACTACTGACTACTGCTGATTTCAGCAACTTGGAGCTGAACTGGTTCGCATCTGATGACAATCTAAATAACCATAGCCATTGTTCCAAGTGCCTCGGGAATTTCGATGATTATACTATAGGTCTTTAAGATCATGAGGGGAAAGAGATAACATCCTCAATACCCTCGCGGGCATATTTTATTAGAGGGAAGTTATCCGGCTGGTCAGCGAGGCAATCACCTATATAAGAACTGTATAATGGAATGAGATTTATGTTCTAGTAGTAGATAGCTGGATAGAAAGCCACTGTTTGAGATATATCCTCCGTATCCATACTAGCAAATCGCAAAAGGTAATATAGAGGCATAATTATGTTACTTATCTACTGATTACAAAGCCTTGTGCTTTGGCACACTCACCCGTAAAGCGATGAGGCTTCAGACCGCATCAGTTCCTGGTCACGTTGATAGCTGTGGCTTGATTCTAGAGTACGGATGATCGGACAGAAAGCCCTGCTTCCCACCCCCTCTGGTGGCATGTACCAATTTTGACAGGCTTACAGTATATCTGGGACAAGCAATACCGTTTCAAGTCTCATACTCGCCAGAGTGAAAATTCTTAAGATACTTGATACCTTCAGGACCGGCGGACCCCTAGAACCTACATCAATAGTGGCTTCAATATGCCTCTAGCTACTTTGGAGGCATTAAATGGCCCGGCAAGGCGTGGGTTAGAATTTCCTGTGTGAAGAATCGGCTTGATGAATATAGTGCTGCAGCGTACACTCATTGTATTCCTAGATAATATACGTGAAATAATTGAGCAGTAAGCCAAGGTCTGGTGATGTTTAAAATGTCAGCTTGGATGTAGAGATATTTGTATGGCATATAAGTAGCGGACAAGAGTAGGGTATATTCAGATGTTTTGCCGAGGAGAGCACGGTTGCCGAAGAAGTGGTATAACTCGCTTCGGATGCTGCGGGCTATATTAGGGACTTCCTTTTGACAATGGACTGCAATCAAGGCAAGTAGATTATCCATAAGTAGATCAGTAAAAATTAAATGATCAAATTAATCAGGGTCTACGCTGCTGTGAGATGGAGAACTGAGTATGGGGATTTTTATTTACCCTTTGCTTAGAGTTTGGTTTTGTTCTCAGTTAAACAGCTAAGGAAAGTCTTTCTTGGGACTTTCATGGACGAACAATTTGGGCCAAGTTTACCGGTACAAGTGTTCAGCCACAAAAGGTCTGGATTGAAGTTAATTGCAGCGCGAGGGACAGTAAGCGACAGGGATCGAAGAAGATTCTCGGCCTCAGCTTTAAGTCAAAACATGAAGGCCTCATGGCGGCCGTCAATATATGATATCATGCAAACAAACCATTAATATCTAGGAGTACCTTGGAGCTTCTGCAGAAACTGTCACACTTCACATAATTTAGACCTACGCGTACATGCCGCTCTCTTTGTATGGTGGCACCAGAGTATTCATGGAAGGGTGTATGTGTGTACTGCAGCTAGTGGCGAATATACCCAACTAGCTATTCATGCTGATTGGGTTTACGAAACGTAAATCGGGATCGCTGTCCTCAAAACTTGGGTACTGTGATGTACCTAGTGGCCAAAGAGGCACCGTAAAGCGACAGTGACCAATATTCTACCACGCCCTAAGTAGGCGTAGCCACTTGACCGGTTCAATAGGCGGACGGGAGAAGAAATTGCAGCATTGACTTTTGGGGACCCACGCCAACCAGCGATCACCTTGAAAAATCTTGCAGCCTAATGGGAAACACAGGAGAGCGCTCAGTTCAGTTGCAACGTCAGATCAGAAAATGTAGTTCGACAACGTCATGGACGTTAAGTTTAAGTTGCCTGAATGGGGTTGGCGTGGAGGGAAAACTGGGGCTAGCCGAGGATAGTTAGCGGGGCACGCTGCAACGATGACGTTGAGACCGAGTCGCATGAGTGCAACTTTCGCCAGTCAACGAACCATGATGCACTCTCATTATTATATCACTACCCTTCCCCGTGAACATGGATCGCCGGGACTGCCGGGTTTCCGCTTTAATAGCTAAACCTCTAGCTGTGTTCTCCCACTTTCATCGTCTTCGACTCTTCCTTCCTTTTCGTCTACAACTCCTCCCATTGTACACCCAAACTGGCCAGTTGAGCATTTGAGATTGACCATCTTGATACGGCAATTGTGTGGTTATACATAAGATTAAAAATCCTTAGCCGGATAGAAGGCCAACTGCTTCAATCATGGCTTTCAGCAGTATGTTTCTCCCACTCCGGTTGCTGCAGTCGCGAAACCACTGACGCGGACCCGTATAGGAGTACTGCTGGGCTTCCTAGGCCTATTCTTCACGGCCGGAGCTCTGCTACTAATGTTCCTGACCCTTCTTGGAGGAGCACGGAACTCGGTTCCCTTGAACGAAATATACTTCCTTCAAGTCGACACAAGCAACATCCCGGGTGCACCAGCTGTATCCCGGTGGACATTCTGGAACATTTGCGCCGTCGGTGCCAATGGAAAGAGTGACTGCGGAAGCTCCTATCCCGACTTCCCCTTCGACCCTCCAAGCCACCGTAACTTCGACACGACAACCAACATCCCTGCAGACTTCATCGGGTAAGCAAGACACTCGGTCAGACCGGATCGCGACGAATTGAATTCCTAACTGATCCTACCCAGCACAAACCACTACTTCCTGACCTCCAGGTTCTCATTTCCATTCCTCATCATCGCGCTTTTCTTCGGCGTCGTATCTCTCTTCACCGGATTCCTGGCCATGTGCACCCGTATCGGCAGCTACATCTCTTCCCTGATGGCATGGATCTCCTTGATTTTCCAAATCATCACTACTTGCCTGATGACGTGAGTTCGGCCATTGACTCTGTAGAATACAATTTAAAGCACCCTTACTAATACCTATATTAGCGCTGTCTTTGTACAGGGTCGTAACAAGTTCAACGCCAACGGCCAAAATGCCAGCGTGGGCGCCAAGTCATTCGGCTTCATGTGGACGGCTGTAGCCTGTCTCTTCCTCGCCTGCATTATGTACTGCCTCGGCGGCTCCGTCGGCAGCAAAGAGTCCGGATACAGCGGTCGCGAACACCGTCGTCGTGGTTTCTTTTCTTCCCAACGGTCCAATAGCGTCCGGAGCAACAAGGAGGCCAACCCATGAGCCAGCTAGCCATATAGCCCCCACTTCCTCCGTCTATGTACGGGGGATAGATCTAAGTGGGTCGTATATATGGAATTATGGGTGGTGGGTGAGGAATAACTAATATGAGTTGCATTTCGACGTAATATCTGGCTTCATTCATTATAAGTTGGGGGAAAGAGCGATGGATAATTCCTCCAGAGCCAGCCCCTGTTTACCGCGAAACATATCGTGCTTTTCTCTCGCTGGGCTGCTATGATATGGTGGCTTAATTTTCGGAGCCCCATGGTCTTTTATCTTTTTTTCCTTTACAGGTAATTGGATGGTGTATGTGGTGTTTTATGGTATCTGCTACTTTTTTGCTGTTACTATACGTACAAGGTATTAATTGTAATGTTCTATCCCAACAGCTAGTCCATCTCACCAGAAAAGGCCCTGGATCAGGAAAACCAACTAGTAATAAATATAAGGACATCCAAGGGTTGTCAAGTAGCGATACGGCCCACCCTCTGTGCAGGCAAAACCGTTGACTGTTTGAGATGGGAACATTTCTGAATGCTCACTACGGCCGTCATGCGTCCTGAGTCACACCTCATGTTGATATCGTACCAAATGCCTTTATAATAGACTAGTCCAAAGCTTAGAACCTCATGGATTCGCCAAAGACCCAATCCCGAACGATAGATGCAGGGTAGGAAGTGGATAGATGCCATTGGTACCTCTTCTGGAGGCAAGGAAGAAGTCCCTCACACCAACTTAGCTCCTACAGGAGAAACAACCCCCATAAATAGAGAAGGGTTCTATACAGCCGCCAAATGGGGCAAACCCTGGTATACATACCGATTACAACTATGTTTGTCGGCGTCTCTGCCACTCAGCCGATGATGAAGGCTTACAAAGAATAGAGGGAAATGCGGGAAGAAGTTACCGAGAAGGATGGCGCTTGACATAGGCGATTCAGAATGAGGCTTTTATTAAAGATTGGAAGGAGTCGTTTGCAGACGTTTGGCTGGACTTTAGGGAGGCATTAGACCGAGGCCTCGTATGACATTACTACAGTAGTAAGCTTAGGGGGAATTAAAGGAGTTATGTATAAGCTTGACATATGCATGGAGCTCGCGATGCAGGTCAAGCGACAGCCTACGCTGCAAGACATTGAGGCGAAAGAATAATGTTTGCATGTCGGTACATACAAATCTACGAAGGCCATAGCGTAAATCCTACTAAATAGGCAGCAGATCATCCAGTCAGTCCCCTTTTCCATAGGCGCTAGGGCGGCCACTCCCGCATGATTTGCAGAGACCCACTAGTATAAATAGGGTTCCGTTGAAGTTCTCTATAGATCATCATCCCACCCTTTGCGAGAATTTGAACGAATACACCGTAATTCATTTTACCTTGCGCGGCGTGTAGCTGGATCAATGAACGCCAAAGGTGTTATAGCTATGAAAGCCGCGTCAAACTGGTCTATGAAGCAGGCGACCGATGCGTAGCTTTCAAAGTTCGGGGCGCTAGTCTTCCGACATACGAAGTACCAGACATTCAGCTCGTATAGAAAGAAATATTAATTCCTGTTTCCGGATAAAGATTCGCTTCACCATGATCCTGTAGTATCTGAACACGAAATATGGGCAGAAATGGAGTAAGGATTGAAAGAAACTGTGCCCGAGACCGTATATATACAACTCCGACGTTGAGTATATCACCCGTCGTATCTTGTATCTTTACATATAGTAACCCAACATATATCAATATTATAGTTGAGAACAGCTCCATTACTGATTTTATTGATTGGGAGTTTTCTAGATACTTTCCAATATAGTAGAAATATACTTATATTTCAGTTCCTGATCGCGAAGAGGATAGAGAGTAGAAAGTTTTGTTACAAAAAATATACCTCACCATAGCGCCGCGCGTGAATTCTGACTGGGTTATTACTACCTCTGCACAAGTCTGAAGCATGAAAGAGCCATGACATCTACTGAGGAAACAAAAAAGGAAGCCCTGTAGAGAGATTGTGACGCCTTGACTTGTAAGTCAGTAAAGAGCTGTCTCCGTTACTTGGAACCCTCATGACCTTGACCAGGGTCCTATTAGCGATTAACTGAAGGGCTATAATTATTGCTCTGTCATCTCACCACTATCCAAGGGCAAAAATACCCCATTTATGATCGTCTTACGCCCGTTGGCTCTGGCAGCGTATCAACAATTAGGCGCTCTATCGCGGTAATGGTTTTGTGAGGGTTTGGACAATCGCGATCGAACTAATCAACGTGAGCAGTTGGACGGAATTCATAAGAGAGCTGTATGTCATATCACTAGATCATCTCAACCATCTAACCTTTGAAGATCTGCCAGCAGCCCCGCTCAGGCTGTGAGACGCCATTGGATGTGAGCGACTGCGGCCAGGAACCGAACCAGAACTTTCGGAGTCCTTGTGTGTTGTATTTCTCAGGAGATACGAAGGTTAAACTTGAGAAGGCGCATGGCCAATGCTTTCTTAGCGCCTAACCCAGAGTCAGGCGCGGAAAGGTTGGATTGGAGCTGTCATTTGGGGTCATTTACCAGGCCCGTGCAGGTTCATTTAAGCGTAATAGGTGAAGCAGGGCCTTGGAGGGAAGAAGAGGATAGTCATTGGGTCGGCAATGAGTAGCATGGCTTTGCAAGGGAGCATCCTTAGATTGGACTAACCAAAGCTCTATTGGTTCGCTTGGTCCTTGCGAATTGAAGGTTGTGATCACCATATTGGAAGAAAAGACTCAACAGGGAAACATAACCTGGTACGTGGTAACTGACCCCAAAGAAGTTCCTGAAGGGTAAATTGTCCTTTACAATGAAATGGGCTCACTTGACACTATAGTCCTCAGTGGCCATTTTGACCAGACTGCGGAAGAATCAACCAAGTTCATTGCCCGAATCCTATCTTCCTCAGATGATTTGTGGTTATGGAGGTGTATGGTTTTATCCGTAAGGAATCATATTTCTAGAGTCTAGGCCTCTCTATATACTTTTGAAGAAACCATCATTGATACATTCATCATCGAACAGTCATTGCAAGACAGAACGCGTCTAAGACAAAAGGTCTCTCCTATCCAGAATCTCTTCTCATGAACCGACCACATCGAGATGAGGATATGGCGCGGTGGAGATAGAAAGGAAGTGCATGATGTCTAATAAATTTTGATGTTCTAATAAATCCATTGGGGAAAAGGAGCAAAGCATTAACCGTGAGGTGCGTCTGGAGATAAGAGAAAAAATACGTTATATATTACCGACGAAAGACTTAAGCAGCCTGCACAGCACCGCGGACGGCGTTCTGGCCGCCAACCTGGCGAGCGGTGATCTGCAGACCCAGGTCGGCGTTGACGTGGACCATCAGCTCAACCTTACTGCCGGCCTTGACGCCCTTGACGGCAAGCTCAGCAATGGGCTTCTCGGTCTTCCAGACGATCTCACGGGTCTCTTCCTCCTCATCCTCGTCGGAGTCGAAGTCGGAGTCGTCCTCATCGTCCTCAGCCTTGGGCTTCTCCTCCTTGGCCTTAGGCTCAGGCTTGGTAACCTTGATCTCGCGGACACCTTCGCAGACGCGGATGAAAACATCGCCACCGGCCTTGGGAGCGTCGTATTGAGCGACACGGCGAGCGGGGAGGGCAGTTTCAGTGTTCAGGAGAGGCTTGAACTCGACAGTCTCGCCAGAGGTGAACTCGACACCGATAGCGTTCTTCAGGTGAGGAGTGGCAGTAACCATGGGGTGGATAGACTGCTCAATGTCCTCCTGCTCAAACTCCTGGATAAGAGAGGCCTGGATGGCGGCACCCCTGGGGGCCAGCTCAGCGGGGTTGATGGCGCCAGTGAAAGTCGAAGGGGCGAGGATCTTAGTCTTCTCGGAGAAAATGTTGCGGGCAAGCTGGGCGATCTTGGGGGTATGAGAGGCACCACCAGCGAAGATAACCTAACCCTTAGTTAGAACATATCGTCTTATACTACTGTTGATCCTGAGAAATAACACAAGGGACTAACCTCATCGATGTCCAAGACATCCAATCCAGCCTTCTGGATGACCTGCTCGATCAAGCCGGTGAACTGGGCGAAGATCTTGCCGGAGAGAAGTTCGTAACGAGTACGGTTGACGGTGGAACCGAAATCAATGCCATCTGCGAGACTCTCAACGCTCAAGCTGGCGTTGGTACCCAAGCTCAAGGTCTTGCGAGCACCCTCACCCTCAAGCTTCAGCTTAGCGAGACCACGAGCGTTCTCGCGAGGATCGGTCTTGTGCTTCTTGATAAACTCCTTGGCGAAGTGGTCGATGATGATCTTGTCCAACGAAGCTCCACCCAATTCGTAGTCATGAGCAGTTGCGAGGATAGAGTACATGCCACCACGGCAAGCGAGAACAGCAGCGTCGGAGCGGGTACCACCGAGGTCGGCGACGACAACAAGCTTATCAGTAACAGTAGCCTCGGGCCTGGCATCGTAGGCCAGGGCAGCGGCAACAGGCTCATGGATGAGCTGCAGGACCTCAAGGCCAGCAGCCTTAGCGGAGGCGGTCAAAGCCTCACGCTGAGCGTCGGAGAAGTCAGTAGGGACAGTGATAACAGCAGCATTGACCTCCTTGCCCAGGTAGTCAGAGGCGGACTGCTTCAAACGACGGAGATGGCGGGTGGCAATCTCGGAGACGGTGACAGTGCTGGGGGTCTCGTTGGCAGAGTCCACAATGGAGAAAGCAACGGTAGACTCGTGAGGCTGAGGATGCGCCGAGTTATGGCATGGTGTGGCGTCTATCGACTTGAAGCTGTGGGGTATTCATGTCAGCGTTGTCTCACATGAAGTAGCATTTTTATATCACGAAGACATACTCCTTGCCAAGGTAATCTCTGAAGTATGCGACAGTGTTCTGGGAGTTGCGGACCAGCTGGGCCTTGGCTTGAGTACCGTGGTACTCCTCACCATCAATGTATGAAAGGACGGAAGGAATTTGACGATCTGTGTATCCGTAAGTTTGTGCTCCAAAGTTACCCGCCACCAAGCAATAATAGGGAGAGAAATATTGGACTAACCTCCTTCCTCGTTGGCGATAACCTCTGGCTTGCCCTCCTATATATTGATAACCATTAGTATAAATTTTTTTTTTCCATAACAAAAATTCATAGCCTTGAGAGTAAATCCGAAGTCACGAATCGGGCTCACATACAGGGTTGATGCGGGCAATAGAACTGGAGGTGTTGCCAAAAGAGATACCGATAGCGAAACGCTCCGGGGTACCGTTTGTTTCGTCACTCATTGTGAATTGTGTGTAGAGAGTTATAAAGGGAGGAAGAGGGAAAAGGGAAGGATTCAAAGGAGAGAGGGAATGGAGATAGAAAATGGGACACAATTCGGGCTCCGCCTCGGAATGGCTGATTCTCTTCCTTCGTTTTCTGCCAGACGATGAAAAAAATTTTTGGTCTGTTTGACAAGAAGGCGGGCATCTGTGGCTAGTGCTTATCGATAGCGCGGTGGCGGTGCGATCTAGACTGGGTAGCCAAAAAATGTATGGATGTACAGTACAATTATTGGACAGGTCACATAGACCGACCCTTCCTTGCATTGAAACAATAGTAGCTCACAAGAATTGTTAAAAGAAGTTTTAACATTATATCCTTGAAGTTTTTGTACATAACCACTAGTACTACCATCGCCTCAAGTCCACTGATAATAATACTGCAGAAACAATCTCTCACGTGGAGATAGCCGATAAGCAACGATTTGCGCTTTTCACAGCCAAGGGCGATCCTTCAAGTCTCCACCATCAGATCTCTTCAGACGCAAAGACAAACCACCACAACAACCCGCCCGGTGGACTTACCCTCACAATGGCGTCGCCATTAGTTCTACTCCCGGGCGACGAAGTCCCCTCCGAATATCTACCATCCAGTAATTCCGGTCCCTTGAGACTTGGAGCAGGTCTTCGTCTCCTCTCGCAACCGTCGTCGAACCCCCCCAGCCATGTCATATCCGCCACACAACCCGGGCTCCTCTCAACAGATAACAAAAGAAACGCCGTCTCGATCCTCTCTACCCCGAACCGTCGCTACCTCCCGACACCAGGCGATCTTGTGATCGCGCAGATCCACCACTCCAGTCCGGATTACTTCCATTGTATGGTTACGCCGCAAGCGCCCCAGACACTGCTGGGGCAGCTTTCATTTGAGGGTGCGACGAAGAAGACGCGGCCAATGCTGAAACAAGGCGATCTGGTCTATGCTCGTGTGTTGTCGACTGGTTTGGGCGCTGGCGCGGAGGTGGAACTTACATGTGTCAATCCGGCGACGGGACGGGCTGATGGGGGATTGGGTCCGTTAACTGGCGGTATGGTTTTTGATGTGTCGACTGGGTTGGCGGCTCGGTTGATAAAGGCGAGCTCTTCATCGGCGGAGCAACAGGATGGTGTGGCAGGCTTGGTGGTCCTGGATGAACTGGGCAAGAAGCTGGAGAAGGCAGGTGGATTTGAGATCGCTGTGGGGAGGAATGGAAAGGTTTGGGTGGATTGCGCCAATGGAGGCGATTATGCTGTCAAGGCGACGGTCGCAATTGGGCGATGCCTGAGTACCATCGACGAGCATGAATTGAGCTCGACAGATCAGAGGAAGTTGGTGACCAGGATATTACGAGAAATGAAGATAGAATCGTGATGTGGAAGATATTGCGTATTCTATGTTATATCTTATACACATCATCCGTTGTTGATGGTGTTATTCCTCATGTACCTACTAGTAGTTTACGACGCTGAGCGCAATTCAAAAGCATACCCAATAGAACGTGTTTATGTTAAGCAGGAAAAATTACAGAGGGAATGCTTGACCGCTTAATTTCTAATGCTTTGGCGCGGAAAAGACTGCAATAGTCCGCCCCGTGTTGCTCAGCTTTAGTGTCCTTCGGCCGGAACCTTTTTTTTTTTTTTCCCTCTTTTTTTGTAATTGACTCTTGACTAGTTAAACATTGTGCCTGACAATTTCAACTACATCCATACCTCCACCTACAACGTCCTTCACTAGATTCAGGCGATTCATCTTTTTACCCTTCCTCCCACCCCATGGGTAACGGGTCTTCCAAAAAGGCCGAAAATGGCATCCCCGACCACACGCGTAAGTTTACCAGAGAATGCCGGCGCGAGAAGCTCCGACCCTTGAATGATACCTGACATTGGGCTTCCACCATAGATAAAGTCGGGTCAGACGTCACGCCGAGTCGCCCGAAAAGTTTGAAAGCCAAGAAAAAAGAAACACCCAAGGGGCAGTCCGACGATGCAGCTACGCCGAAACGGAAACGAAAATCCAGCAAACATGACAAGTCGGCCGTCGCGCCGTCATCGCCGCCAGCCGAAGAGGAACCTAGGCCTTCGAAGCGCAAGAAGCTCACCGACTCGCCTATGGATAGCACTGAGGATGGTCGCAAAGCAGAAAAAGCATCTACCGCCGTGATTGATAATTCGCCAGTCAAAGCTCAAGTCAATGGTAGCCCTTCGACCAAGCCATCGAATGACACCACCATACCGCAGGTGTCTGTTAACAAAGGCAAGAGAAAACAAAGCGGAAAAGGGCTTACAGGCTTTTTCACGCAAGACGAAGTTCAGGCTCTGGAGAGTTTCAAGTTGGAGTTCTGCAACTCCCATGGCCTTCCGGCGCATGCGTTTGACGCGATGGTCCAACATTCCGAACGAGAAAAGGGCATTGACTTCCCTTGTGATTCGTCTATCACCATGAAACCCGAATTCTGGAAGACAATTTACGAAATTCTTCCTGACCGGGATAGGAGATCAGTGTACCGCTTCATGAGGCGCCACTTCCAAAACTCTGACGTGAAACCCCATCATTGGAGTCACGAACAAGATGAGGAACTCATTCAGCTCGTTGCACGGTATGGCTTCAAATTCGCCCAGATAGCTAAAGAGTTAGGCCGGAGTGACGACGATGTTGTCCAGAGATGGAAGAACCGCTTGGAGCATAGAACTACGATGAACCGAGGCGCATGGTCGGAGGAGGAAATTCGCTCGCTGCAGAACGCCTTGCAGACTGTATGGAAAAACATGAAGGAAAAGGGCCATGAAGTGGGCCGGGATATCTATGAGATGGACGAGACGCTCATATCCTGGGGGCATATCAGCAATAAAATCGGAAATTGTCGTTCCAGACAGCAATGCGCAGATAAATGGCGCAAGGCCAGGAAAAAGGTTCAGCAACTGCGCGACAAAGGGCACCCAGATGCTGTTTTTGACCCCGTCAAGGAGTCAAAGAACAGCAGACAGAGGTCGCGGCCGCCCACTCCAACTCCGGCGCCTCCTCCAAAAAGCGACAAATATGTTTATTCAGACGATTCAGATGTAGATGAAGCCGTGCAGCAGCATGAAAAGGAGGAGAAACCAGGCAAAACGTCCAAACAGGATTCCAGCTCAAGCGACAAATCCTCATCTTCCGACTCCGAATCACAATCAACGGAGGAGTCAAGCCCTGGCGATACAACTCAAGATGTGAAATCTAAGGCAAAGCGGAACAAACGCTTCACGGTCAAAGACCAGCTACAAGCTACAGAGAGCAAGAAAATTACCAATACTACCCCGCAGAAGAGAAAACAGTCAACATCAACATCCTCCACATCAGATTCTGAAGATAGCGACTCGAGCACAGGCTCTGATGTGCCCGCACACCCACAGAATTCGACGAACATCAAGCCAAAGATATCACCAGTAGCTCCGAAGAGCAAGGACAAGAACGAAGAGAGCTCTTCCGAAGATGACTCGAGCGATCCATCCGATGATGGAAGTAGTGAAAGTGATGCGGAGTCTGAGAGCGAAAGTGACGTGACCAGCTCAAGTGGCAACGAGAAAAGAAAGTCACCGAAGAAGGCCTCAAACAACATCAAGCAGCAACCCGAGGAATCCTCGTCAGAGGATGAAAGTGAAAGTGAGGATTCCGACTCGTCCGAATCAGAGTCGCCCCCAGCGCCCAAGTCCAGCAAGTCTAAGCAAAAGAGCACCAAGGAAGCGGGCGCTTTGAAACGACGCCGTCTCGCAGAGCTTTCCTCAACGTCTACTTCGGCTCGTTCGTCGGCTTCCCGAGATATCAAAATGGAGGGTGCTAGCGACTAGCTGTTGTCGGTGTTTTAAGAGGGGAGAAGAGTGAGACGTTGCAGGATGAGGTGTATGCAGAAGAGACTGGCTGACGAATGATGAACAACAAATGTGTGCACAATTTTGTCTAAGCGTTGGTGGGATGGAATGTAATTGTGTTGTTGGACGATGTCCTTGCTATTTATTCTCAAAAAGTTGTGTTTATTTTTATTCATATACCCCGTCATCCACATGTACAGTTCAGAACAAAGAATGACTTCGGACCTGAGAATATACCTGTGGATGTCCTTTCGAGTTGAGCAAGCTCTCTGAGGCGTTCCATCGACCTAGGGCGGGTCTTTTATCTACTAAATTCTACCTACGCACGAACAGGTTCGGCGTTCAACCTCTGATCGAGCACTCATTTAGATCTTAAACTCTCCATCCAAATGGATGTATGTACCATGTAATTCCGCGCAAACCACATATCTATTGAAATACGAACTCTAACACATAATATAATGTAGATCTACAACTCATCCTTTGTCCATTCCTCATCTTCCTCATCGTCAGGCTGCACTTCTTCACTCTGTTGCTGCTCTAAAGAAACCTTCTCCACCAACGCAGCAATCTCCCCGTCATACTCAGTCCACTCGGGGACTTGCCGTCTCGCCCTATCGAGCTTAGGCTCCTTAGTCTGCGGGTTATTGCATAAATCAATCGTTCTCGCCTGGCCCAAAGACTCATCGGAACACCAGGTCTCACACCACAGCCACTCCTGCGGCAGACTCTTGATCGGGATTTGGTGTTGCATATGATTCGGTAGGTCTTGGTCAAGATTACTCAAGCTGTTGGGGTCAGCAGAGAGCATCTGGTATTGACCACGGAGACGGTCGCCGGCAGCCAGAGCACGGAATCGGCTCAGGTCGACCACGTAAAGGGCGGAAATGTGATAGGGTTGGCCGCGGAGGAAGTTCTTCCAGTAACCTTGTTTCCAGAAGCGGAAGCCTTCCATTTCATGGCGCGAATCGCACATGGGTGTGAAGCCGTAAGGAGCGCCTTCTAGGTCTAAGTTGACGAGGTCGTACATGTCTGTGCGGACGACTTGGTCTGCGTCGACGAAGATGACCTTCTCCAAAGAAAGGGGGAAGAGAACGTCTAGGAAGAGGATCTTATAGCCCCAGATCTCGCGCTGCTTTTCACGCTGGGCGCGGAGCCAGTGTGGCCATTTAAAGGTGACCATTTCGTAGGAGAAGCCGTATTCTTTGGCTAGGTGGGGGAGGAAAGACTTGAAGGAAGGCGAGAGGAATTGCTCGATGAACCAGAACTTGACGGAATGCTTGGTATTCCGCATCACTGATACCATCATGATATTCAGCATTCGTTCGTATAGATGGCCGCTTGCCACTGAAAAGATGTTGATGTCGGCTTGCTTTTCGGTAGTACTAAGCTTAGAGCCGGCTCCAACGCTCGATAGGATCCCGGAGGCAAAACTGAGCCCCTTAGACACGTAGTCCATGGCAGATCCAGGCTTAGAATTTGTGTCCAATACATCTTCGGACTCATGGCCCTTCTTTCGCGATAAGCGAGGGAAAAGGGTTTTACCCTGGAAGGAAAGGAGTGCTACTTCATTGTTCTCATCACCGGGTTGTGGAGCGTAACCCATGCCACCAACGCTGTCGAGCTTGAAGATCCGTTCGCTGCGACCAGGTTTCAGATTTATCTGCCACAATCCTGGTTGAGCTTTGAACTGGAAGTAGCCTAGGTTGGCCATGATGATAGTGTCAGCAAAGTACGGGTTCTCCTGGGTACCAAGAGCTAGCTGAACCCCCCTTGGTGGAGTCTTTGTAGTCAAGTCCCGCGAGTGGCCTTCTATCAAGATGTGCTCTAATGCATAAATAGCATCAACATCAGATCCTGCCTTCAAGGAACTCAACTTGATGTTATCGAGATCGTGAACGGAGTCCTTGGGTGCTACAAGCCAAGACGATGGGACATCCATGCCCAGGGTAAGCAATGCCTCAACCGGCACACCTGAGAAAGAGGCACCAGGTCTTAATACAGCGCCATCGTTGGAAAAAGAGGGTTCCGGATCCAAGACGTAGCGGTAGAAGCGCTTAATTGGAAGCTCCTGTATTTCTTCCCGGGCGTTCAAGAAGAGTCTAAGCCTGACGCTTGCCAACTCTGAAAGTACCTTCAAGATTGGTAGCCATTTTTGGGCCACTTCAGACGTCGGGTCAATAGAAGCGACTATCGTGATCGCCGGGTCTTCAGAATTGGAGACGGTTACCACCGAGTGAGAATCGTTCCACTTGTCGAACAGGTTCATTCGGGCGTCCGAAGTTGATTCGAAAATACCCTCTGGGACATCAGATATAGTCGAAAGAGTAGCTAGAGAAGTAAGTTTAGCAAAAGCTAAAGGCCCAGAAAGCTTTGAGCCAATCGCGAGGTCCTTGACAGCTTTCGCAACAGGATCTATGCGCTTTGTGTGCTCATATATCAAAAGCTGATCAAAATCATCCGGCACCACCGTATAATCACCCGGTATAGGTCCAACTACTCTGCCATTGATGACAACACCGCTTACTCCGGGAGCAAAACCAAGCTCGCCAGCCAATGGCTGCTGTAACGCCCAAAAATGAGCAATCTCTGCTTCTTTATGGGCTGGCACAGAGGCACCAGAAGACCCAATATCAGCCAAGACCTGTGTGACATCCACATTTTGGCTTTCCTTTAGTAAATGATAGAGAGCTATGGATCCACTTGCACTAGGCACATGGGCTGGGTTGTGAAGGAAGAGGATCTCAACGTCACTATGCTTTTGCCGGCTCTCCAACGCTGCAGTGAGCAGCTTGGCACCGCTTTCGGAGTCAAAATCACCAATGACAATCATATGAACGCTATCGAGAGCATTATCTTTGTCAGAGGTAATGCGCGGGAGCACATCCAGCCCTCCTTTCTGCGACTCCGACACCTTAGCTAGATCAATAACCCGGATATCCTTTGGATCCTCGGGGATCACCCAGGGGTTGCGACGATCGAAGGCCTGGGAAAGGAAAACCCCTGGTAGCCACGTGTCTTCCTCAAAAGCATTGTCCATGATTCCTTGCTGGAGTGACTGCAGGTCTTTGCCCACCCTGTTGCTCATCTCTTGCACCCAATTATCATCCCGGACTACTGGGACACCGTTGATGAACATTAACGATGATCCACCTGTAATCTGGAGACGATTCTGATAACTAACTGTACGAGACACTGTCTTAGCGAGCTCTCCATGTTTCTGAATCTCTTCGAGCGACAAGGCACTTCTATCAGCACGGGCTTTCCGCTCTTTGGTTGCAGCTTGGAAGGATGTTTTATCTGGAGATGCGATTTTGTTTGCAGACAAAGACTGAGGAGAGTTAGCATATGGTAATGAGTGCGAGCATTTGAGATTATTGGAGCTTACCTCCTCGAGGTATTGAATCAAGCTTGCCAGACCGAAGGTCTCTTGGAGGTAATGTGCGACTTTAAGTTGAGCCGTAGATCCAGGAGAAGATGCAATAGGGACTAAGCCAAACCTCACAGGTATCTTTCTCTTTACAAACACCTGGATTGTCTTGACTACAAAGTTCATATCTTCAGCATCAGTCAAGTCTACTGGGACAACGATGTTGTGCGCATCGCGGCGGACTTGCGGAAGTTGACCTGGGAATGTAGGCCGCAGGAACTAGCAACGATCAGCATGAATATCCAAAGTAACACATCAGATGGATCCGCTTACTGCCCCTAATTCGCCTGGCCAAGAGTCATACTTGGCATCCTTTTCAAGGTCGTTCAGCCATATGAGGACCCCACCACCTTCAATTTCATCCCGGTAATTGTAACGCTGAGGTGCATCCTGTTCCAAAGACTCCCCAAGAAGCTTGTGAGACAGGAGGTCTACAGCCTCCTGCGCGGAGATTCCCAGATCTCTGAACTTCTCTATTAATCTTCTTTCACGACGTAGATGGTCCAGCAGAGAGTATGCATCAATCTTCCGAGGATCCATTTGGACCCCGTTAATCCACATAACGTTAACTCCAGATGGAAGCATTCCCAGTCGACTAGAGCGGATGTCTTGCAAAAGCTTGGTGGTGGCATTATGAGCTGCTATTTTAGCCGAGTATTTGGGAAAATCCTGCGAGAGCTTCACAAGTGTACCCAGAGGATTGTTGCTGTCCATCACGTAGCTAACAGTGTTCACACCTAGCCGTGATACTTCAGACGAGGATAGTGGCCGAAGATCATCTGGGGCGTCCTCTTCCAAATCGCCTACTTTGTTGGCCTCATTTCTGCGTTCTTTCTGTCCAGCGTCTCGGTCGTCGATCACAATATAGTCGGTTCGCTTTAACGCAAGCTCAACACCATAGCCGGATACATAAAGAGGTCGAGGGCTCCAGTGCTGAGGTGGCCGATAGCGTACTCGGTACGAAATCTGCCCTTCCTTTACCAAAGCACTCAGCGTCTGGTGGAACTCCTTGAACATTGGAGATGCCACATCCGCATACAAGACGGCCGGTGGCAACGACGTATCACCCAGGACTCTATCAAACTGGAGCTCTCGCAGGTCCCTGCAAACGGCAATAAGTTAGTATGTCGCCGGGCTTCTCATCCTCGGTAAGATGCTACCCACAAATCTCCAGAAACATCCTGCTGAGCACGCTCCATGGTCGAGGAGCAGTACTGTTTGCCATCTGAGTGTACCCATACCGGGCAGGCTGCGTCCTGCGCTGCCATCAAAGAATGTTGTACGGAAGCATTATAGTATTGATAATGGGCCGCGATTCGGGGGCTCGTCGAGCGAATTGCCAAGGAGAGTTTAAACGACGAAAGGCTTTCAGGAGTTCTCAGGTAACCATCCTCATGTACAACCTGTAGAAAACGATCATATACTTCTTTGTCAGTCACAACATCATCGAAGGCTCCATCGGCGATGCGGTCCAGCAGTGGGAAATAAGCAGTTGCGTTTTCTTCAGCGGCGGTTTCTCTATAACGTGTAAGTCACATTATTACTAGAGTAACCAGAGAAAAGGAAGGCATAGGGTACGATTGCTTACAGAAGCTCTATGAGATAGGGTGCCGAGTCAAATGAAGCTTCTAAAGCAACATTGACTGATGGGCTTGCGTGTACTAGGCAGGTCAGCAAAGCAGCGACAATTACAGAAAGTCGCCACGATGCGACAGGGCCAATGCCGGATATCATGTCTGCTGCTGCCTTCCACACATTCGTGTATACAGAGAATCGATTGATAGCGGGTTGTCTGGCCCCAAACTGAGCAAGTCTAATTATAGTCTCAAGTTAAAGCAAAGTAAGCATAACGGGCGAAGACAGGCAATCTTTGAGGGATGCAACAGAGGATGAGATCTCATGCAACGATATTTCGATATGTCATGGAGAAGATGTCGGATGATACAGATTGATCCCCGACTGCCGCCTAGAAAGGAGTGAAACAATGAACGATCATCTCTCATGCGTTCTGGCCACTTCGGCGCCTTGGAGAGCTTCTACGGGAGGTGCAGCGGCCACTTGTGCAGAACTTCCGTGTCTTCTTTTCTGGGTTCTTATTGGCTAATCACATCCATGGATCATCACCAATGTGACAGCTCTTCAGTCTTTACTACTTCCCCAGAGTACCTATACGTACTACTAGTACTACTAGTAGTACTAGTAGTAGGGCATGCAGCTACCTAGTGAACTATTCTTCTACGGAGACTTGTTCCAAGTTCAACCATGCGAGTTTCCATCCCGGAACAGGACTAGCTCAAGGCCGCCTTTTTATCAGTGATTGATACCGAAGCATAGGGCTAGGCGGGGTAGTAATCCATGATCAACTCATCCACACTACTCCGTCCGTTAGCTTGAATATCCTGGTTAACTAAAACTCGTGGAGCCAAGCCCACCCCCTTAATCAATTGATATAGTTAAACCATCATAACGTCTCTGAGTTATTAGTAACTAGAGTCTATTGACTCTATTCTGCATGCCTTGGTTAACTACATAGAGTTTCAGCTGACACAAACCCTGGATTGTCTGTGAAGATTATTAGTACTGTTTGACCCTGTATTCAATAATTGCAATGATCTCCTGTTGTGATATTTAGAGTTGGATGAGGTTCCCAAAGCACCTGACCTAAATTCTTAAAGATAGAAAGAATACTACCCTTCAAACAGCTGTATAATATTCGAACAGTATACGGTTGAAAAGCTTTCATTTTGATGTTGATGTGCAGCGGCGAAATCGTCTGGCAGACGATGATACCGTATACGAGTATGCGGTAGGTAGGTGGTGGCCGAGGTTACAACATACTAGGCAACCTTCTCCAGTTAGGTGTGAGCAGCCTGGGAAAACGGGAAAGTGCGCAAAAAATTTCACATCAAAGGCAATTGTAACCTTACTCCGGAGTACATTTCTACCAGTATATGAACCAATCAACCCAGTTTACGTTGAAAAAGAAAATAATAATCCTGGGTTCCTTAACAATTCATCATTATTGCCATTATCCGCGCTCTTCCCATCCCCCCCCAAAAAATCATCATGCCATCTTTGCTTGACCTTCCCTTGGAACTCTTGATACAGATCGTACAAGAAACGATCCCGGTGGATTTTGAAGCCACTGCCCTCTCTTGTAAAGCCCTGTTTGCTGCCAGCGCTCCTTATCGGGTGCAATATGCCATTCGACGGAAACGGTTTCGAAATTTCCAATTTTCATCAAAAGTCGATGAGAATCTAGAAGGAGCAGAGGAACCCGGCTTAGGCGACTCTTGGGATAAAATTACCCAAGAAACCGGCATTAAAATTGTGACCACACGGGAGCTATTGGAACAGATCGCACTGGACCCCTCTGTGGCGCAATACATACAATCAATTGACCTTAGGGAGCATGGAGATAATGAGGAAGATGAAGAAGTGATAAATTCCTTGGAAACAGAGGTACCTAGAGCTCTAAGGGACTTGGTTTTTGCGTCGCCCTTTATTGCAGCCATCGAGGGGAACCCCAATGACTGGATTGGAGGAATCGGAGAGTCCATAATAGATGCAGATGTCTTTCTCCTGACCTTGCTACCACAAGTGCGAGAGATAGCTTTACATCCACGTTGGGATGAAGTAAGTCCAGATGATGAACGCCTGTGGCCGGTACTCAGTCTTATTACGCACCGGGCCAATCATAAGGAGAAATTTCCCGATGCGCCGTTGTCCTTGCTGTCCGTCGTGCAGCCCTCCCGGGACATGGGCTATGAAGAGAAATCACGATTGACACCATTCGTACCATTACTAACGATCCATTCTGTGTCCGAAGTCAACTTGTGTAGCTGCGTCTTCAAGGATGACGGGTACACTGGATACGCCTTCGACCCATTGGTGGAATGCTACAGCGCAAACTTGCGGAAATTGAGTATAGAATCCTCTGTCGCCGGCGTAGAGGAGCTATCACAACTACTCTCGCGAATCCCGAACCTAGAGACCTTTGAGTTTTCTCATGAAACCAAGTGGCATGGCTGCGGTTATAACTGGAACGTTGGTGCATTTTTGGATACGGTGCAAGATATCTGTGCAAAGACGCTCAAGGAATTGTCGGTAACAAATCTCACCGAGTGGTGTAATAGAGGGGCCACACTGGTGGATATGACTCGTTTCCAGGTATTGGCAGTGCTTGATTTGGGCGTCGATATGCTTTGCGGTCCCGCATATGATCCGTCGATGAGAGCTTTAGAATGGGATGAAACTGAATGGCATGGAAATCCAGCCTGGCCCAAACTGATCGATATGTTGCCAGCATCCATTGAAAGGTTCAACTTGTACCTTGAGACATTCGATGATGATCATCTGAAGTGCATCTCTCATCTGATTGAGGGCCTTTCTGATGCTCGGGCCACAAAACTGCCCCGTTTAAATGATCTGAGCCTTTTTGTGCAAATGGATTCCATAACGATTCCAGACGTGGCACTTGAAGTTTTGAATGCTGCGAAGGAAAGTGGTTTCTCGATCTTGAAGGTTGCTACATCCGTCCCTCTTTTATAGCTGCCTTCTTGATCATTGTATTCAGGGATGCCCTCATGAAAACGATGGCCTCTTCCTTAGTTATAGCTTAGGAAGCTTAGTCATACATACCTTTAGACCTTGCCGTTGTCATGTTAATTATAACATGGAGACTTGTACCCACTCTTATGCAAAGATTCACAGATTCTCTACGCAAATGCATACATGAATTACACGACGAATTCTAAAATTAACTAACAACAGATATCAATTCGTAAAATCATCATCATTTAGTAACATTCATCAAGGCTTTTCTCTAGCCATTTTAGCTTTTGCGGTTGTTGAGGTTCTCCTGTTTAACCTAGGAGATATGATCCACGATGCTCAAAACTCCCAATGCGAAAATAACACGCCAATTCCTCCTGTATGCTGAAAGACCAAACAAAAGACGCCTGTGGCTGGCAATTGCGCCCCCAACCCGAAAGTAAGATAACTCACAAAAAGACAAATTAAACGGCCAACTCCATTACAATCCCAGTGTTAGAACATCAGCTTTTGTCTTTCCTGCTTTTTTGGTGGAGAAAAAAAATGCTGTCATAAGTGTACAATCAATCGAATCAAATCAAGTCACAGTCAATGTGAGTCATTGCTGGGCTGTTTGTATGAGCTCTTTTGCGGCTGGTAGCCTCCCAAATCAGACGCTTTCGTTTCTGGTCATCAATCTCAAAGAAAGATGAGTTATCAGGAGTGTGGCTGGGAATATTGTCCGGTCGCATAGCGAGGGCGCTCGAGGACTTCATTTTCTTGAGGCTCTTGACCTTTCCGGCGTCGCTGAGTTTTCGCAATTCTCGTGTTAGCCGCTCCAATGCAGATCCACCGGTCTTCTGGTGAGATACTTTCGGGGCCGGTGGCAAGGGTTTGTCCAGAATGTCGTCGGAGGCATTGCTGCTGTGAACAGATGGAGCGTGGAACTTATCTGCCGAGCCAAAGCTGATGCCTGAATCCACCTTCCGACGGGGCTGAGACTCCGCTTCCACAGTCACCTCGAGACTGGTCTGGTCATTGACCATGGCACAGTCATCGATAATTTCGTTGGTAAGCCGAAGGTACCTATCCAAGGCGTCTCGCACCAGTGGCCATCCCGTCTCCTCTCCCTCCGGTGCGCCCTGGGTGATGACCTTCTGGAGGATCTCTTTTCCATTGGGCTTATCGAAGGCTGCGATGTATCGGAAGAAGCCATCCCGCTGAGACTTGAGAATCTTGGCAGTCAACTGTGGTGTAGGGTTGACGGTTGCATCTGTAACAGGTGGAAATAGAGTGTTAAGCATGGCGATGCAGTTGGCCTTATTGTGTGGTTCGAGCAACATCTCATTGATCAGGGTCTGAGGGGAATCATTAGTCATCTATTGAAGAAGAGTAGAGACACGGTGACTTACCCAGCGGCGTAGGCCAATGTAGACCTGGGTATAGAGTGCCTCGGCCGTGCGGTTCTTGGCGCAGTTGGACTCGATCCAGGTCAACACATTAGGCCATTTCTTTCCAAGCTCCTCTTTCTCCTTAAGATCGTCCGGCTTGACCTGCAAACGGTACAGTGCCGCTTTCACTTCCTTCCTTCGACGAATCTCCAGATCCCTGAGATAATCAAGGCCGGTCAACGCCTGAGGAAAGTCAACATCACCCAACTCCGGGGTGAAGCAGCGACGCAGAAAGGATGTCACAAAGCTGGGAGGCAGAGAGCATGGTTGTGACGGCAATCGGGAGATTTGGTGGGTGAGCAGTGCCCTAAAATCGGCAGCACGATCCAAAGGAGCATCTTGAGATGACACAGAAGACTTTGGAGAGTGGGACGGGCGCTCGCAGAAAGCTGTCTCGGGAGCACAGTTGGCGGGTGGCGACTGTCTCGTTGGGTTGCAGTTCAATGCATACATAGTGCGTAATGGAAGTTCGTAAGAACCAGGGTAACGAAGACAGTGGTCAAAGATCCAGGTCAACGCGGATCCATCTGGGGCATCCAGGCGCTCTTGTGAATTCGCCATGATGCGTAATGAATGGAGGAAAGAAGCAAGTGAAACGATGATTCACGATGGTATGAAGGGGAAAGAAATGTAGGTTGCCCAGTGCGATGATGAGGAACTACGAGGGGAGCGGAGTATAAGAAGGGAAGCCAAGCATCCGAGCTGGCGAGGATCGACGGAAGGGGGATAAGTTTAGGGATAAGAAGGTACTTGTATGACGTGACAGGATGCAGTCAAGTACCGTATACACAGACTCAAAGTTGACTGGCGCTGTTCGCGATAAGGACGACTGACATTAGAACTCGTGTGTAACGTATGCTCTCATCGCACGAATATGCAGAGTCGACAGAGTCAAGACCGGTACCGAAACTCCTTCACTAGGGGAACAAGGGAGCGATAGGTTTATCCCTTGGGTCTTGATTGTGGTGATGCGGCGTGAGAGGGGCAACGTTCCTGCGGGAGTCTACCAGTGGAACCGGTTTGGTCAAGTTGAAGTAGACGGAATTGCCTCTCAACTTTTCTCTGTCCAAAGAGGACTGTTTTGTTTCTTCAGGGATCACAAAGTGAAAAGGAGGAGCAAGGAGTTCAAAGAGAAAAGAAAAAAAAAAGTAATAAGGATTGGATGGGATGGGTTATCAGTAACCCAGTAAGCAGAGAACGGAAGGATAAGTACTATGGCTTGGGTTACACGGCAAGCCAATAGTTTAAAGTCCCCGGATAGGGTTGCCGGCCAAGCAAACTTTGAAACCAACGCAACGGAATATGAACTATCAAGCGGAGCCGAGGCAGGCACTGCACGGTATTTTTTTTCTTTTGGGTTTGATGGTTGGTTGGTTGACACAGAAACAAGAAGAGACAAAAAGATGGGTGGGGTCGAATCCTCTGGGGAAGAAAAAGCTGAGACAGAATTGAAAACAGAAATGAATGTCTGTAGGATAGAGAGAGGTGAGCGAGTGATTGAATGTCTAAACGAAGGAGTGTTTCGTCCAGAAGAAGGAGAGAGACAGAGAGAGGAGAGAAAGTGGGCAAGGAAAGGGTAATAATAAAAAAGAACCCAAGACACCGGAAAGAGAGGGGAAGCAATCACAGTTTAATAAGATAATAAAATATTATTTGATGTGAAGGAAGGAAAAGAGGAGAACCAAGAGAGTGGAGACTGGATCAGGTACAGTCAGTTAAGTCTCGGTTCTGGACTCATAAACGGTGCGTCTAACAGCGATCCAAAAGTACAAGTTTCCAGTGGCCCTTTACCTAATCAATGCATAGCGTCCACTTCAACTCCGGAGGATCGATCGACTGCCAGTTCCAGTTCCACGGATACTGCCCGTGTCTTTGGTAAAATAGTACCAATCACCGAGTCGAGAAACTCTTGGAGATTCTGGTTGTTTTGTTGTCTTTTTGTTTCTTATTTTATGCCACCTCGAGTCCACCTCGACTAAAAAATTACAACAATACTTTTATTGCCCTGTGCTTAATTGCCCTGAACTTGAAAGAAGATAAAAATAAATCACACGTGTTCTTAGAATAATCGGGGGCAAAACAAGAAACCATTTTGTAAAAAAAATCAAAAAAACTCAGCCATCCCACCCTGTCCTAAAATCGCCACAGACATAGACGCAGACACAGACACGCATACTGAGCATCGCTAACGCAGTTGATCTGTCGGAAGCTGGGATGTCCGTCAGACTCGGTTTCGAAAAGTCTCGAGGATTCCGCGTAACAGCTTCCGGCCCCAGTCGGCTGGGTTGTTGACCGTTCGGAATGCGGACCCGTTCTTAGTGAAAAAACTAAAATTAAGTATGGCAAGAACTGAAGGAGGAGAGACCAACGCCCGATAATTGGGGCGGGAGAGCAACTAGGAGTCCATAGTGCAGTTTTTTGAGTTCATGCGCGTTGGTGTGGCTGAGAACGGGGGTTGATTGAATCTGTATGTATGTAAAGTCAACCCTCTCAATGAAATCTCTGCCGTCATTTGTTCCCGAGGATGAACTAAAATGATCGATCATACAGGAGGTTTTCCTGCTTCTCTGTCGGACATTCTACCGGACTATTTGATGATTCAATCATCGTGCGTGGTGTGGATGATGTCAATCGGCGCGCAAGGGGCGGATGAGATCATTCAATGAATTAGATACTTGCCTTTTTCCTTACTCTTTCTTCCTCCTCGTTTACCTGTCTTCTTTCTTTTTCTCTCGGTCTGTCTTGCCTGACAACCTCGGTGGGTCGGTCGGGACGCGCAATCTGACTGACATCCCGCGGGCCACTAACGATATTCTCCATGCGAAATATGAAACATTCTTGACGGAGTCACTTGGGTTGTGCTCGCTCCTCATGAGATACGACGTCGATAGAGCACACACAGGACTATCTAACAGCAGGGCTCAGGCCACGGTGACTAATTGGGAGCAGTACAGATGACCAAAACTCGATGTGTATCAAACTCTTCGTAGTAAGGTTACCTTCAATGTTCGACTTCGGTGACGCTATTCTACATGAAACAATCTAAAATCCGGACCCAGGGTCTTTGCTCTTCCCACGTTTTTTCTAGTCCGGGCCACCTTCTAATTGGGGGCGTTAGCTTTATTGGAGAAGAGGGTTCCTCTTTCATTCATTTCATTTGCAGCCCGGCGGGGGTCCGTTAGTATCGTCCATGCTCAGGAGTTCTCTGAGACGTAAGCAGTAGAACATCCATGATTACAATGCACGGCGAACGGGCGGGAGCGAAATCCTTGGTACAGAGTACATACAGTAGGTAGGTACCGTGGTTTGCTTACCCTACCTAAGAGAATATCCGTGACATGACAGGGTAAAACAACCCACTGGTCTCACACGTGACCTTACCGCTTCCAATGGTCGCTGGCAAATTTCTCGCGTAGGTCAAACATGCATCCCGATTAGGTGAGCTGGTACCCACCATTCTCACGTGTTTTTCGCATTGTCACCATCCAGAAGAACGGTGACATCCATTCAAAAGCAACTATAGAATCACTAAAGGAGTAGTACCCTGATAGTCTCTTAATGCAGCAG